TCCTTATTTCTGAGTCAGCACCTATGATCCTGCAGTTCATCTACATACCGATTCCACAAGCATTTATAGAGTGCCTGCTGTGTACAGAACAGCCTCGGCTCTCACTGGGGTCTTGGCTGCTCACAGCCACGTGTCAGGCCTCTGAGCAGGCCAGGCCTCCGGGCTGGATGCTGGGATGCGGGGTCAGTTGAGACTCATCCCTGGAGCTTAGAGCAGATGGAGAGGGGGGTGGCCCGCTGCTGCCTCGCACTTGGCTTTGGACGGGCCTGTGCCCAGAGGCTCCCCACCTGTCTCCTTGCTTTTCTGTCTCTCCCCACTAAACCCGGGGACAAGGTTGGGAGGGGAAAGGAGGCAGGGCTAAAAATGATGGGGCAGCGTTTTGAGGGATGAATAGAAGTTTGCTGGCCAGAGAAGGTTGCAAGTGCAATGTGGGGCTCCAGGGTGTGCTGTGGGGAAAGCAGGATTGGGACCCACTCTCCATATACCCTGTCTGCCAAAAACCTTGGGCCGAGATGAGCCAGGGTGTGCTGAAGTGAAGGGGGGACCCCGAAGGCTGGCTTGGCCTGCCCCAGAGCTGCGGGCCCCAGGGGCTTAGGAGAAGCGCTCTCGCTGGTCACGTGGACTTCCGTGGGAGCGGCTGGGCCACCACCAGGAGAGGTCTGCTCATTCAAAACAACTTGACAGAAACCTTGGAGTCTCCAGTACCCCAGGTGCTCCCAGAGATGATGAGATTTAATCAGTTTTTATACTAAAAATTTCAATTTAATAACAGACTCATTTAAGTGGAAACTGGGGCTCAGGTTCTCATGCAAAGTGGTGCCTGGTTGGAGTGTGGCCGGGCGCGGCCGTGGCGTCTTCTACTTGACAGTGGTGGGGAAGGTGGGCTTCTGTGTGAGGCCAGGGACCGGATCCGCCTCTCGCTGGAGTCCTAGAATCAGCCTCTCGATGCTGGAAGCTTCCTGCAGGCTGGCACCAGCGAAAAGCCTCCGGGCGGCTGGAGAGTGTGGCAGCAGCTCGGCCAGGCATGCAGGCTGGGGAGGCTCCGAGCACACACAGGCCCAGCGCAGCTTGGGTGTTGCGCGGGAGCCAGGAGATGCTTCACGATGTGTCGTCTGTGCCCACCTCGGGGCCACTCTGAAGTCACAGGCTCGCTGGGTTGAAAACATGCTCGGAACATGCTGCTTTATTCCTCCAGAGTTGGGAGGAATGTGCGTGTTGTCTGTCCCCAACGCCCCCGGGCCCTACAGCGGGAGCCGGGAGAGTACGCCAGGCCAGAATGCTTCTTAAGAGCCTGCCTCCTCGGAAGCCCAGCCAGCGCCAGGCCCAGCCACCTGCCCCTCGCCCCTCGCCAGGTGCCCGTGGGGAAGCAGTGTCCACGGAGGACAGAGATGTGGCCCTGAGCCCATCTGGACTCATCTCAGAGGCTGTCCCCAGCTCCCAGAGCTGGGCCAGGAGGGGCCTCCAGACGTTTGCTGTCCTGCAGTCCTGCAGGGTGTCACTGGAGGCCTTGGACAGGGCCTAGCCTCCCGAAGAAGCTGCGTTGGAGGCCAGGCCCTCACCTGTTCTCAGCTGGTGACTCTTAGCAAGCTCACTGGGGCCTCAGTTTCCTGCCTGAAGAATGGGGCTAATTGCCCCTCCCTTTGTAAGTGGATGAAGGGCTCATGATGGTGTGCGTGAAGCACTGGGCAGGAGTGGCTCCCAGAGGTGCTGGCTGTGGGCATCGTGCTTGTTGTCACCTTGGTCCTCCCGGGGCCGACTCCATAGTCACAGGATGAGGTTTTCAAAGATGAAGTGTCAGGCTCATGACCCAAGGCCTGGAGAGCTCTGGGCTCCTGGTGCCAGGGACTCGGTCTGGGAAGTCTGTGGTGAGGTTTGGCCATGGTGTTAGAGGATGTTGGGAAGGAGAGCGTGGCCTGAGGCTGCTCCCAGCACCCTCAGGCCCCCGTGGCCACGTCCATCCCCTGGGTGTGCAGCATTCGGGGCTGACGTCACCCTGCCCCGAGAGAGGGGCTGCCTGGGATCCAGGCAGAGAACGTCAGTGTCATGTAGAAGCAACAAGGGCTGACCCCGGGGTCCCCACGCCCTGAAATGTCAGCACGGGGTCCACCACGCCAGGCAAGCGCAGAGAGCCAGGATGGGCCTCAGTGCTCAGGGCCTGCAGGCAGGAGTTAGAGCCTTCCTGGGGTCCCCCAGCCCTGGGGAGGCAGGGGCCTCTCTCCTGGTCAGCTTTGGCCTTTCCAAGGGGCAGGATGGAGGTGGCAGTGAGAACCCCATTCCAAACCTGGTCCTGACCTGAAATAGAACCATAGAAGGGGGACCTTCTTGGGTTTGGGGTTTGGGGAGAGTGGGGAAGCCCCTCTCCTGGCCTGTCAGTATTTTGGGAGGGGAGAAGGCAGCCACACGGAAAGAACAGAACCACGATGCTGGTTAACGAGTGAGGAGCTATCACGGGGAGAGACCTGTTTGCTGTGCGCTTGCCATGCCCTCCGTGGGGAACTGGAGCGTGGCCCCTGGAGCCGCAGTGTCTCATAAGCTGTGTGCGCGTGCGCTCACTGTCCAGGCTCCTGATCTACGGGGAATACTGCAGCCACATGGAGCATGCCCAGAACACGCTGAACCAGCTCCTCGCCAGCCGGGAAGACTTCAGACAGAAGGTCGAGGTAATGGGGGCTTCCCTCCTGGTCCCCCGTTCACCGGCCCCTTGCTTGTCCATTTTGTGGGAAGGTGGACACCAGGGTAGTGATGGGATGGTTTCTGTAGACGTTTTTCTCGATGATTTTTTTCCCCCTTGGGGGGAAGCAGGTGCAGGTCACTGTCCCAGGCCCGAGTCCCTTGGGTGCATCTGACCCCTGGGCCAGATCCAGCTCAGCAAGGGGCTATGACTGACCCCTGACCCTGGCCTACACAGACCCCGTGGGGACCCCAGATGATGGACATTTGCTGGGAGCCAAGGAGCCTCCCTCCCGTCACTATCCCCATCCCTCGCTCAGGGCCAATCTCTGGTACTTGTCCAGTTGCCCATGTGGGTCCCTCTCCAGGACCCCTTCCTCATTCCCCCTTGTCAGGGGCAGCTGAGCTGCTCCCCGAGGCTGGGATTCCTGTGTTGTATTTGGCCAGTCAAACCCTTTCCAGAGTGAATCCTGGTGCAGGGCCCTCTGTTCTAGCAATGCTGGGAGGCATGGCTCCTGGAGATGCATGATGCCCCTCTGTGTCTGGGAAATGTCCTGAGGGTGGCCCTGCCTTGGTATGAGCAGGCTTCCCTGAGGGTCTCTAGGCAGGCCAGGGCTGGCTCCGAATCCCAGAGCCCTCGGGTGCCCACTGCAGACTCCTGAGACTACAAAGCGGCAGCTGGATGCTGCTGGGAAGCCCACCCCTTGCACACAGCTGGTTTGGGAAGGGTCTGTGGGAGACACTGCCCATTTGGGGAGCCAGGCCACGGAAGGACTGGACACCTGGGCCCCAGTGCAGGGCTGAGGTCTGCCCACCCCCACCACTGCCCTTGGTGTGGGATGGGAGTGTTGGGGCCCAGCAGCCCTGGCGAGGGTCTCCGTCCCCTTCTGCTTGCCTGTTGCCCAGGAATGCACGCTGAAGGTCCAGGACGGGAAGTTTAAGCTTCAAGACCTGCTTGTGGTCCCCATGCAGAGAGTGCTCAAATACCACCTCCTCCTGAAGGTGAGGCCATGTGTGTGCCCCCTGGCTGCCACCGGAGAGCGGGATGGAGGCCCCGCCGCCTCTAGGGGTGTGGGCGGGGCCCAGATGGACCACTGTGAGAGACAGGCTAGCAAATCTGTTCTCACAGCCTGTGTGGTGCATATCAGGAATGTTTATCACAGAAAACAGACAAAGGGAATTTGGGATTGAAATCCGTAAGAGCCAAAAACCTGAGAGACAGAAACGTGTCCCCAGACCAGGAGTAAGAGTAGCCTGGAGTGGGTCACTTAACCCAATCTCTAAGCTTCCTGGTAGGCACGGTAGAAGTGGAAGTAGGAAGTCCTTTGGGACAGACAGACCTGGGGGGGAGAGTGGTTTCTGTGTGGCGTGAGGCTCTTCGGTGAATCTGCCTGTCACCTGTTAGCCCGGAGCCTTGCTTCGTGCTGCTTTGAAGTGCTTCCCATTACCCAGCAGGTTCGGGGACACTCCATCTCGAAGCAGTGTGTCCCCTGGGGGGGGGGGCTTGCTGTCTGTGCTGGGTTGGTCAGCTGAGCCAGAGCCTGGCCCAGTGGTCGGGGACTTGGTCCTGACGGTCTGGCTCTGGGCCCACACGCTGTGCCTGGTGGGGGCAAGGACGGAGGCCAGCATCCCCACATGGTGACCCGGGACTCCTCTCTCGCACGTGCAGGAACTTCTGAGCCATTCCACCGATCGGCCCGAGAGACAGCAGCTCAAAGAAGCGCTAGAAGCCATGCAGGTGGGTGGGTAGACTGAGGCAGGGGAGGGGCTGAGCCAGTGTGGGGCCTCACATATCAAGTCTGCATGCTTTGACCAGAATTGGGCTCACCAACAAGCCTTGTTCTGTGACCGTAGATGCAGCTTTTCCTGGGAAGACAACAGGCCGAGCAAGGGTGGGGTGGTGGGTGGGAGCCACCCCAGGACAGAGAAGGTGGGTGGAGGGGGCTTTAGGCACTCGCCCCAAGCGTCCAGAATCCCTAACCTGGCCTGACCCATGGCGACTTCCCTGGGTCTCCCTTCCTCCTGCTTTCCCAACCGTCCACCAGGGCTCTTGCCAGGTCCCAGGCGCTGGACTCAGTCTGGGCCATCTGGACCCATACTGCCCACTGCGCAGGCCTACGGCTTTTGCTTCTGAAATGTCCTCCCCACTCAGCCATGCTGCCTCCTCTCCCCTTCCCTATGTCCATTGGAAGCCCACAGTGCAGGTAAGTCCCTGGAAGGAGAGCTCAGCTCGTGCCCTCCCCTTGCTCTAAAGCCTTCTGTGGCTCCCCACTGCCCCCTGAGTCGGGCTCAGGGCTCCCCTCCTGGCACACAGATACCCAGATGCCTGGCTTTGCTGCTGTGTTTGCCACTAATACCCTAAATTCCAGGCAAGCTTGGTCACTCCCATGCTCCTGTATGTGCTCCGTCCTTCCCTGTCTCTGCTGGCTCAGGCTGGACCTCCTCCTTGTCGCCTGGCTGTGTCTTGCACATCCTTGGTCTTTGCAAGATGAACATTTCCCAGGATTGCCCCCCGCTTGGGGATGGTTGTGCCGGGGTAATGCCGTCACCCCTTTGTGCCCATTGCTCCCTGATCATGGTCATCTGTGTCCTCAGCCGCGCACAATGCCCAGCACAGGGTAGGTCCCCTCAGCCCTGCAGCTGGGCAGGGGGACGACAATGTCCCCAGCACCTCCCAGGGTGAGTGCTGACCTCTGTACCCACTTGGATGAGCTCCTTCCAGAGGGCAGGGGTCCGTCTCCATCTGTGGCTTTGAGCCCATCACCTGGCCCTTGGGTGGTCTGTGCTTGGGGAGCATCGCTGATGAGCCAGGCCCATCCTGGAACATTTCTGCCTCAGATTCTGCCCCACCAGTGGGCTTCGTATAGGAATGGGCAGGAGGTGCTGGAGGGGGAGGCTGGAACTGGCTCCCCACCTCGGCCTGGCTCAGGGATTCCACCCAAGGCAGCTTGTCCTGCTGGGCAGGTCAGTGCCTCCGGCTGGGTTCTCCGGAACAGGGCTTGGGGTCCCCTAGCCCCCTGGCCACTGCCGGCTGCCTGGATTGCAGCGGGCACTGCCCCCTGGTGGCCGGCAGGAGGTCAGCAGCGTGTGGACCTCCAGAGCTAGACTGCAGGGTGACCCAGTTCTGCCCGGCTCCGCAGGAGTGGAGACCCTGCCAGGGGCCCAGTTCCTCAGAGCTGAGAAGCAGGGTGGTCAGGTCTAGTTGGCTGTTTTCTTCTAGTCTGAGCTAGAAGGGGGTCGAGTGGCAGGGCAGGGAGAAGCCGTTCCAGGAGGCAGGGGCTTGGGGGGTCTCGCCCACTGATGTGAGCCGTTTGGGGTTGTTTTACGTTCCTGCCTCAGTTTACTTGTGTGTCAGGTGGGGTTTCAAAGGCTGCCCGCTGTGGTGGCTGGTGGCAGGTGCTCTGGAAATGGGGATGGGGATGGGGGTCGGCCTGCTGACCCCTCCCCCGCCTCCGTTGTTTTTAGGACTTAGCGATGTACATAAACGAAGTTAAACGTGACAAGGAGACCCTGAAGAAAATCAGTGAATTTCAGAGTTCTATAGAAAACTTGGTAAGTGTGGCTGATTCTCTACAGAGTGATGAATTAGGATCATACATACGTGTTTCAAAAATTACTTCCACAATCTCGGTATTAAGTAAGCAGGCGGGTAAACCTACTCTCTCCGTCTGGGTCGGGGAAGCAGGTGCAGCTGTGTACAGAGGTGGCCTGCTCGCCGAGGGGCAGGGTCTGAGGGAGGAATGGTATTGACCCCCCTCCCTCCCTCCCTGGCCTGGACCGAGAACAGAAGGGCTGTGGCTCCTGGGGTGGGGAGGCAGGCTCCCAAGGCTCCTCGCCCACCTGCAGCTCCGCTCTCCCCAGGAGGGTCAGTGGGGAGAGGGTTTGGCCGCTCTGTCTGGGAGTGGCCCTCGGCTTCTCCCCTCCCCTCCCTCCATTAGGCAGGGCTGATGCCTCACAGGACCCTCTCCCCAGCCTGGTTCATCAGAGGCTCAGCCTTGGGGTGTTGGGTGAGCCACTGTGTCCTGCCGGGAAGAGGAGATGGGCCGTCCCAGAAAGCAGATGCTTCCTTGTCTGCCAGCCTGTAGCAAGTTCTCAAAGATCTGCTGAGTATTTCAACCATGCTTTCTGTGCCCCAACACTGCTGACATCTGGAGCCAGGCCATTCTCTGTTGTGGGGTCTGTGCTGGACATTGTAGGGTGTTGAGCATCCCTGACTGTGCACCCCACCCTCGGGGGTCCCAGACATCCCCTGAGTACAGGGTTACCCTGGCTGAGCACCACTGGGTTAGCCCCAGATACTTTTAGTGCCTGGCGGGGTCTGGGGCTGTCTGTCTCCCCCTGTGATCCTTGATGCTTTCTAAGGGCTATATGATGCAAGTTTTGGGGTTCTTTAAGTTTTCAGGTATGAATCATCGTGTTCCTTAAACAACAAAAAGAACACAGTGGTGGCGAGCAGGTGTGGACTCGTCCTGGGGACAGGGCGCATGCTCAGCCTGGGGGTCTCTGCTGAGCCCACCAGCAGCAGGTGGAGGAAATGTGGGGTGCGGAGGCAGGCTGCCGAGCAGGGTGCTCACTCCACCGTGTGTGACGCTGGAGCTGTGCTGCTCTTAGCCTTGGACCGGCGGCTCCTGCAAAATTCGGAAAACTCAGAAAGCTGCCGAGAACCGTCGTCATGGCGCCACGGGTCCAGCCCCATTAATGTGCTGGAACATTCCCTCCTGTCCGGGTAGACCGTTTCTTTGCAAACCACGCAGGGAATGCGCCTTCTATGAATCAGAGCAGAGGGGAGAGACAAGCCAATCTGAAATTGCAGCAGACCAGAGAGGGATCGGACTCGAAGCCTCTTCCTGTGGAGGACGCCCCTCTGGAGGCCACTTCACCCCGCCCGCCCTCCATCTGATAGGCCCTGTTTGTTCTCCTCAGCTTGGTTTCCCAGGGTTGGGCGTCCGGCCCTTCCTATCAGGGCCCGGCTCTGGGCTCCACACAACGGCGGCCTGTTGCCATGACCCACGCCATCAATCGCCTCTTGTTCCCGCAGCACTGAAGGGAGTGCTCAGTGGGGCTGGGGCAGGGCCCATCCCCCCCATCCTCTCCTATCCCGACCTGTGCCCCAGCCAGCAACCACAGGCTCGCTTCGCCCAGTTCTGCCTTCCATGTCCGCGGGAAGCATGCCCGCTTGGGTGCCAGCCCGCCGCCCTTGCTCTCTGTGTAGATGTGGGGCAGCTGGGCCCCCCTCTGGCTCTGGGGCTGACCGCCTTGCCCTTTTCTTTCCAGCAAGTGAAACTGGAGGAGTATGGGAGGCCGAAGATCGACGGGGAACTGAAGGTCCGGTCCATAGTCAACCACACCAAGCAAGATAGGTGAGCGGGCAGGTGGCCCTGGGCTGGGTGGCCCCTTGTAGTCGGGCACCTGCTCCCTAACAGCCTGGAAACAGCTTGCCCACTCAGCCCTGTGTTCTTCTGCTTCCCTCACTTCCTTTCTGCTCAGGGACACAGTCCATGCCACGTCAGCCAGTGGCTGCCCTGCCCATGGCACTGGGCTGGGTTAGAGGGCAGCCAGAGGCCCTGGCCTGTGAGCTCCCAGGCTCCCCGGGGCCACATGGGCCCTTGACCACATGCCTGCGAGGGAGTGCCCAGGCAGGCGACCGGGAAGGCTCCAGATGCGTGGCCCCTGCTTGTTCAGAGCTCTCCATGTGCACCTGCTCTGTGCAAGGCCTGGGGCTGGGGCTGGGGCACAGGCCCCCAGAGCCCTGTCCCTCTGGGGCTCCCATCTAGTCGGGGATGGAGCATGGAGGCCTGAGGAGCCCATATGAGCCTTGAGCCCTGGGAGTGGGTAGCCAAGGAGGGCTTCCTGGAGGAGTTGCATGGAGTAGCTGAGGCCTGCTTGGGAGTCAGAGTTGTCAGCCGAGCCCCCCAGTGGGAGGGGGCCCAGGCTCGGAGAGGGACTAGCCCTGCTGCTGCCCACCCTAGGCACACTCTGGCTGTCCTGGGGCCTCAGAGCACGGGGCACTGGGCGTGCTGACGGCCACCTGGCCACACTGCTGGGCCAGGTACTTGTTCCTGTTCGACAAGGTGGTCATTGTCTGCAAGAGGAGAGGCTACAGCTATGAGCTGAAGGAGGTCATCGAGCTGCTCTTCCACAAGATGACCGACGACCCCATGAACAACAAGGATGTCAAGAAGGTGGGCCCCGGACCGCCTGCTGGTGATGGCGGGGCCTTCTGGGGCTGAGGGAGGAGCGGCGGGGTGGCCTGGGAAACAGGGTGAGCAGGAATGGAAGTCAGCACTGACCCCGACTGGGTGGCTCTGCTGTGTGAACGGGGCTTCCCTTCTGTCACCCTTGTGTCACTGTGCTTTCTGTGCGGGGCAGCCCACTCTGTGCCCAGCCCAGCACTTCCCTGGCCCTTTGTCTTTGAATCTTCCCTGGGGGTGGGCGTCATCTGGATCACGGCTCCTGGGTGAGGGGACCGAAGAGCGGCTCTGAAGAGAGCCAGATTGTAGACCATGGCCCCTGATTTCAGCCCGCATTGCCCCCTACAGTAAGCAGGCCTTCCTCCGGACGGGGGCTCTGGGCAGGCCTGACAGTGGGTTGTTAGACACTGACGTCCAGCCAGTGGGCCAAGGCCGCTGGGGGGCGGGGCCGGGGCTGTTGGGGGTGGGACCACAGCTATGTAGGGTGGAGCCACAACTCCGGAGGGTGGAACCGTGGATGCTGGGGTGTGGCTGCCACCCCCTCTGGTGCAGTCCTGCTTCAGCAGAGGCTACTGCACCCCAGGGCTTGAGCATCCACTGTGTGCATCCCTGGCTAGATTTGGGGGCCAGAGCCAACATGCTAAAAATCCCGGACTCTGGACTTCAGAGCTTGCAATGTAGAATGCAGGTTCCACCTGGAAGGGCTATTGGAGGTGACCCACTCAACCCCTCCTGATGTCTGAAACAACTCCTGAGGCTTGGGGTCAAAGCTACAGTCCCTCCAACCCCTGGCACCTCTCCTCTGGGAGGTAGAGCCTTGCCCCTGGCAGTGCTGGGTCCTGGGCTGTGGTACCCGGGGCCGGGCCAGGCTTAGTCTCTTAATGATCTGTCTCCCCCTTTCCTCCCCTCTCCTCATGCCTCCTAGTCTCATGGGAAAATGGTAAGCACCTGGGTCCTCCTCCTTTGCTTTCCTCCCCTCAGGGCCCAGCCGGCCCTTCCTTTCTGAGCCTGAGCGGCAGTGGAGACCCCGGGTGGGCCTGAGCAGGGCCAGGCTCCTGGCTTGCTTCTTCCTTCGTCCTGCTCCCTGTGCCCTCATCAGGACGGTGGTGTGTATTCATGATCACAGACTGCCATTACGGAGGGTAGACATGAAGGCCCACCTGCCTGCCCTGGTCCCACCCTCTCCCATTCCCCAGAGGTGAAGGACCACAGGCTGTTTTACAGTGAGCAGGGCTTTGGTGTGTCCTCACGGATTCCTTCACCTTCCTGTCTTCCCTCCCTCCCCTCCTTGTCTCCTTCCCTGTCTCCCTTCCTCCTTCCTTTCTCCCTCCATCTTTTCCAACACAAATGGGCTCAGACATTCCACACTCTTCTTCCTGGGCCCCTTTGAAAGCCCCTAGAGATGGCCTGGCCTGTGGGTGGTCAAGGCAGCTGTGGGCCGGTTCTGCTGCAGGCTCTCTCAGCCCATAGCCTTCTCCAGCCTTTGGTTGGGTTTGTTTCTGTTGTTTTACTTCAGAGCAGTGAGCTTTTTAGCCTCACATTTAGGAACTGAAAGTGGGTGGACCAGGGTGGTGGAAGGGCCCCAGACAGTTCTGAGCACAGGCTCCCTGGGGACCCCACTCGGTCATAGACACGGCCCTGGCTGAACCTGCAGAGAGTTCAGTTGAGGGTACACCTTGCAGCAGGAGGGAGAGGGGTCCCACGACATCTTGTTAGAGGGGTGCATGCACACACGTGCATACATTGCACATGCATGCGTATGTGCAGGTGCAGGCATGAGTACCTGGTACGCACATTCATACGTGTGCACACACAGGCACGAGTACCTGGTACACGCACATACACGTGTGAACACGCAGGCACGAGTACCTGGTACGTGCACATACACGTGTGCACACACAGGCATGACTACCTGATACACATATACACGCACGTGCACACGCAGGCATGAGTACCTGGTACACACACATGTACACGCATGTGCACACAGGCATGAGTACCTGGTACACACACACGTGTGCACACGCAGGCATGAGTACCTGGCACACATGTATGTACACATATGTGCACACACAGGCATGAGTACCTGGTACACGCAGATACACATGTGCACACGCAGGCACGAGTACCCGGTACACGCAGATGTACACATATGTGCACACGCAGGCACGAGTACCCGGTACATGCAGATACATACGTGTGCACACGCAGGCACGAGTACCTGGTACACACAGATGTACACATATGTGTACATGCAGGCACGAGTACCCGGTACACACAGATGTACACATGTGCACACACAGGCACGAGTACCCGGTACACACAAGTGTACACATATGTGTACATGCAGGCATGAGTACCTGGTACACATGCACATACACGTGTGCACACACACGCACAAGTACCCGGTACACACACACGCACACACATGTGCACACGCAGGCACGAGTACCTGGTACACACGCACATACGTGTGCACATGCAGGCAGAGTACTCGGTACACACAGATGTACACATGTGCACACGCAGGCACGAGTACCCGGTACACATGCACATACACACGTGTGCACATGCAGGCACGAGTACCTGGTACACACGTGTGCACACGCAGGCACGAGAACCCAGTACACATGCACATACACACGTGTGCACATGCAGGCACGAGTACCCGGTACACACACATGTACACCTGTGTGCACACACAGGCATGAGTACCCGGTACACACACACGTGTGCACACGCAGGCACGAGTACTCGGTACACACACTTACGCATGTGTGTGCATGCAGGCACGAGTACCTGGTACACTCACGTACACGTGCACATGCAGGCACGAGTACCTGGTACACACAGTTACACATGTGTGTGCATGCAGGCACAAGTACCCAGTACACTCATGTACACACGTGTGCACATGCAGGCACAAATACCTGGTACACACACTTACACGTGTGCACATGCAGGCACGAGTACTCGGTACACACGTGTGCACATGCAGGCACGAGTACTCGGTACACACGTGTGCACACACAGACACAATACCTGGTACACATGCATGTACACACGTGTGCACACGCAGGCATGAGTACCCGGTACATGCATGCACACATGTGTGCACATGCAGGCACAAGTACCTTGTACACACACATGTATATATGTGTGCACACGCAGGCGTGAGTGCCCGGTATACATGTGCACGTGTGTCCGTGCACCCCAGGCCAGGCCAGCTGCGAGCCTGTCCCCTTCTCCTCCCACAGTGGTCCTACGGTTTCTATTTAATTCATCTGCAAGGAAAGCAGGGCTTCCAGTTCTTCTGCAAGACCGAAGACATGAAGCGGAAGTGGATGGAGCAGTTCGAGATGGCCATGTGAGCGTGGGGCGAGCCGCAGCGTGGGGAACATGGGAGCCCCAGGGGGAGTTTGTCTGGGACCCCTGCAGGCAGGGCTGATTTCAAATGCCCAGAGACCAAGACAAGCTCTGCCTTCCTGAGACCCCAGGCACACCTTGGTAGCACCTTTGCAGTTTTATAATCTGTCTGGGGCCGGTGCCCCTCTCTCTGGGACACCTGTGGCCCCGAGGCTGAGCCTGGCACAGCTGGCCAGGGGAGCAGTGAGGGGCCAGGGCGGCTGCGTGCCAGTGACGCCTGGTGACCTGGGTCCTCAGCACCTTACGGGCAACTTTGGACTGTCTCTCTTTTGTGAAGGCACGGGGCTCTTTTTCTGTGAAACCTAGAAGGAGCCGCCAATATGTCCAACAGAGAAAGGGGATCACTGGGGTCCCCAGACACACCGGGCCCTGAGGCCAGAGTGGGGTCCTGGAGTCAGGCAGGCCGGGGGCCTCCGGGCAGGAGCACTCTCCTCCCTGGTAAACACCGCGGGTTCCACCTCTCACGCCTGGCCCTGCTGGCTTTGTCGCCTCCCGTGCATCCGGCCCTTGCGCCATCTGATCGTGGATGCAGTCCGAGTGAATGTTGGACATGTCCCCCCAAATACTTCCAGGTGCTCATCCTGAGCTAAGTGCACTGTCTGTTTAGATTTTAAATGTCAAGCTTGCATACGGTGAAATCCCTAAGGGTAGAGTGGCTGAGTTGTGACAAATCCTGCAACTGCCAGAAACCCTTACCATCCTCCTAGAAGGCGCACCTGCCAGGATGGCATGCTTGTCAGCCCTCACTCAGACCCTTGTTCTGCCCAGGGTGTCGGGGCAGGTCCAGCCTGAGTCCTGGCCTCCTGACCTCTGGCGCAGCCTGCTCCTGAGCCTGGCTGGCCCCTCGGTCGACCCCGCTTTGGTGGAGCTCAGGGAGTCTGGGCCTCTTTCCCTCCGGTCAGGTCCAACATCAAGCCAGACAAAGCCAATGCCAACCACCACAGCTTCCAGATGTACACTTTTGACAAGACCACCAACTGCAAAGCTTGTAGGATGTTCCTCAGGTGAGGATGCTGCCTGCCCCGGCCCCTACCTGCCCGCCCTCAAGGGAGCCTGGTGCTGCATCTGTCCTGTGTACCCCTCACCCTGACCACACCCCCACCCCTAGGCCAGCCCTGTGCCAGGCCCAGAGGGGCTGGAGAATGTTCCTTCAGTGTCAGACTATCCAGGCCCTCGGGCATTCCGGATTGAGCTGGGAGGGGAGGGGGCCGTCCCTGTGGGTGCCCCGGGCCTGCCATGCGGGGAGGCAGAGCAAGGCCGGGTGAGTTCTGGGAGGAGAGCCAGCACCAGGTGGCACGTGAGGGCGAGGGTCTCAGCAGCCCAAGGCTTCTAGGGCTGGGTGATCTGTGGGGCAGATGGCGAGGTGGGGCTCGTGGTCTTTGGGCCCTGCCATTGGCTCGGAGTCGTCCTCACTTCCCTTCTCCGCCCCCCTCCGTGCAGGGGCACATTTTACCAGGGCTACCTGTGCACCAAGTGTGGTGTCGGGGCGCACAAGGAGTGTCTGGAAGTGACGCCTCCCTGCAAGATCAGTGAGTACCGACCCCAGTTCCGCCCGCAACACACAAGCCTCCAGGGCTGCTCCTCGGGGCCCCGTGACCCACCCTGAACTAAGGGTCCTGTGGCTCACAGCTGCCCCGGTACTTCCTTTCTGGCCCAGCCGCCTCCCTGTATTCTCCTTTCCCACCATCGAGACCCCACGGAGCAGGGATCCGATGAAAAAAACTAGGGCTCAAAGAGGGGAGGACACCTGCCCCGGGTCAAACAGCACCCAGAGGCCCTGCCTGTGGGGCATTCCTTGCCAAAGCGCTCCCTCCTCACTAGGGGGGCTCCCGTGCTTCTCTCTGCCTCTTTGTACCCCCTCCCCATTCCGGTGGTGAACTTGCAGAACCTCCACCCCAAAATGGGCACAGAACGTTCTTGGCAGTTGCGTGGACGTTTCTGATCACAGAGAAACGCTGGTTGTGACTGTTCTCTTACCCCTGGTTCTCCTGCACTCAGACAGGTCTGGCCTTCCTGAGCCATGCCTTTAGCCACGTTAGCGTGCCCACATGTGCACGCATGCACGCATGCACACGCTCACGGCACCTACAGGACTCCCATGGTCTTCGTGCCCGTGTGTCAGGGGGGGAAGCTGAGGCTCAGGAGGGGAGGGGACCCGAGCCTGCCCAGCTGACATCTGGGCTGCCCAGGCTCCTCTGGCAGATGCATTTGGGGGAGTACCCCGCCTGCAACAGCTGGACGGGCAGCCAGAAGGCCCGAGACAGTTCTGAAGGCTTTGGAGCCGCCATAGGCAGGGCTGGCTGAGCACTGGATCGGGTGGGGATGCTGCAGCATGAGCCTGGCAGCGGGGGTACCTGCTGAGGGTCGGCTCTGCCCCCTGCACTACGCGTGGGTGCCCCCGATCCTCCCACATCCCCCTGGGATGGTCCGTTGCCCTGCATCCACACTCGGGGAAGCTGCGCTCAGAGACGGGGTTAGCTCACTCCAGGTAGATGGAAAACCGTATCAGGCCTGCTTGTCACCCTGAGCCACCACCAGCAGAATAGAAAATTTTGTCTGTTCTTCGTTTACTGTGACTGCTGGCCCGGTGCCCTGACTGCGAGGAGGGTCCGACAGGTCACGCAGACCCCCTCCTCCGGCCACAGGCCCGATGCAGCCCCTTCTACTCCCCCACGAGCCTCCTCTAGGCTGGAAGTCCCGGCCAGAGCCCATGGGCACAAACGCGGCTTTTCAGCTTTGCCCATTGATACCGCCCTCTGGTGGCCGTGTTCTGTCATACGGGTGACGGGACAGTTTGTGTCTTTTGGCTTTTTTTTTTTTTTTCCCTCTGATCCTCAAAGTAACATAATTACCAAAAATTTGGGGACAAAAAGAGAAGAAATGGAGTACAGAAGAAAATAAATATCACCCCTGAAATTACAAAGAAATAACCAAAGGTGATGTTTGATATATTTCCTTTCAAGTTTTCTATTTTAGAATGAGTCTGGGTTTTTAGTTTCCTGATTCTTAAAAATACTCATTTCCCATAGAGAATTGGGGAAGCGTAGAGAAGAGTAAGGGAGCAGATCATCCACACGATCCCACCAGACAGACACAACCACCATTCACCTCTGCGCCATGTTCCCTCCGCCGCACACGCCCGTCCCCCCGCCCAGTCTCTTCTCATGTTTGCATGCTTTCCATTGTGCCTTCAACTGGGGTCTCACCAGATGGGCAATTTCGTGTCTTCCATAAGCCGAAGTTATCCTGGGCATCCACCCCATGTCATTGAGAGCCCATGCTGGGCACCTGGTTTTATTCCGGAGAGTCCCATGCTGGTCTGGTAGTCTTGCCGTTTGTGCTGGGCTTCGGCTCTGGGCAGTGCCTGTGACCTGCAACAAGGCAGCTTGAACTGTGTGTTGCCGCCGGGGCCAGGATGGCCCAGAACGGCGCTGCCTTCCCCCAGAGAGCCTTTCCCCGGGGAAGCCTTGCTGCTTCTCCTCCCCACCCGGTACCCACCGGGCCCATCGTCTCTGTTCCATAGGGGCTGTTGGTGACTGTCCAAAGCGGTGTGCCACCGTGAGTGTCACATGGTGTTAAGGTCACATTAGCCACGCACGTTAGCCATTCTGGTCCTTGCTTCGCCTGGTGGGGGAGTGACGGCCCCGCTTGTCGGATGGCTGGGGCCCAGCTGGGCACTGCTTCCTCCCTTGGGGGCACCCTGAGGCAGGCAGGGAGAATCTTTGGGACGTCTGACAAGCGGAGGTGCCCTGTGTCTGGGAGTGAGTGCGTGGGCGGATGGGTGGTGTGCGTCCTGACAACCTCGTGTCACCTGCCCGTGGCAGGCATCCCTAATCAGGCGTGGAAGCTTTGCCTTTGAGCTCATGTTCCACCCGGGGATCTCGGGCAGCTGCTACCATCGGAGCGGAGTCGGCCCAGGCGGGAAACCTGTTTGCCAGTCTGTGCTCCCCGGGGACCCCCGACTGCCAGCGCTCCGAGTGTGCCGGCGGAAGTAAACGAGGGACACTCGTGGTCACTGGCTGTGCTCATGTGGGTGGGAGCCCACTCCCCGGGGGCTTGCTGCTGACACCTCACATGCTTCCTTTTCAGGTTCTCCCGCAGACCTGGTGAGTCCTCCAAACTGTTCCCTTCCTGCCACTCTGCACCCCACGCAGCCCTGTGTCCCCGAGCCAGAAACACCTGTTGTTCCTGATCGCACCACTCCTGGGCCCACCCTGGCTGGCACACAGGCCACTGGGGCCTTCAGTTTCCTTCGTGGGCCTCAGGAGAAATGGGTCCCTGTGCACAGGAGGTCCTACCAGGGCTCTGCTTGCCCTGCGGCTTGCGGGTGCCCAGCTCTGTGACAGGCATCCACCCACTGGCCCCCCCCATCCTGATGGGGCTTAGAGCCCTCTGTGCCGCTGACTTAGGGCAGACGTCCCCACCGTGGGGTCTAGTCAAATTAACCAGCACTTACAGGGTGCTCGCCAGGCCTTGTGTGTGGTACAGAAATGCCCTCATGGAGGAGGGAAGAGCTATAGCATTCGACTGCATGCAGCAGGACACGTCCCCAACAGAGATGACAAGCCTCAGGCTCAGAGCAGGGAGGCCCCCAGGGCTGGCGTGGTCAGGGCAGCCTTCCTGGAAGAGGTAGGAGTTAATGGTGAGGGGATGGATATCCCGGAGCAATGGAGGGGCACCGAGGTGGAGGGTGTAGGTAAGAATAGGGGAGGGCTTGTCACAGACTGAAGCCATGTCACAAATGCCTGTGGCACTCTGGGATGTGTTCCTTTCCTCCCCCTGCTTCCTGCCTCGACCCTTCTCTCTAGGGAGGTGGGGGGGGGGCAGGGGGTGTCGATGCCTGGGCAGCCCTCCCTGATCACTATGGTTTGTCCTTGCCTTCCCAGGACGCCTCTGGAGCAGGACCAGGTGAGTCTGTGGGACTGGGGCCCCCTCAGCTGCCATCCAGGTCCGTGGTCACTCTGGGGGCCAGGCCTGGGCCACCGTGATTGCCCAGCCTCGCCTGGCCTTCTGGGTTCCAGGCTCCCTCCATGGCCACGTCCCCGGGGGTCCACCATAGTGTCTGATGAGGGCCTAGCGTGCAGAGGGTCAGGGTCCTTCCAGGGGGGAGGGCTGCAGCCGGAGCCCCCCCTCCATGGGGTGGGCCTCAGAGGTCCGCTGCCGTCACTTTGCCGATCTCCCCATGTCCTCGTGCCCCCTGCTTTGTACCATGTGGCAGGAATGTGGCTTTTAAAGGTTGAGGGTGGACAGCATCGTGAGCCAAGCTGTGCAGTCTGAGCTGTGCTGGGCCACCGTGGCCTGATCGTCAGGAAGCAAAACCAGAGCCACACTGAGGCCCGGGACACCCGTGTTGGGGCCAGGCCTGCAGACGGGCCCATATGCAGCTGGTGGGGCCAGAGCAGGGCTCGGGCCACAAGTGCCCTGCAGATGCCTGGGGGGCCCAGCCGGGACTCCGTTTCAGGCCCAGAGCCGCCCCAGCTAGCTGTGTGTGGCCTTAGCCAGGCCCTGGGCCTCGATCGCCCCTGGTCCCCTATCTCTGCCTTGAGGGGTACCCCGTGTCCTGCTCCACACACGGACTTTCAGTCACAGATTGGAAAGGGGTCTGGAGGAAAATACAGGAAGTGCCACTTAAAGTAAACGGCCACTGCCCGTAACAAGCCCCTGAATCTGTTAGTCCCACGGTTTCCTTACGACACTTAACAAGGGGACCTGGGGTCTCATGGGAAGAACTTAGGGTCCCTCGCCCAGGAGCCCTGGGGGGCCGAGGCCGGTGGTGGGCAGGCTGCCGGCCAGGACCGAGTCACTGAACGAGGGCCCCCTCCTGCCCTGTGCCTGCAGGTCCCAAGATGGTGGCCATGCAGAATTACCACGGCAACCCAGCTCCCCCCGGGAAGCCAGTGCTGACCTTCCAGACGGGTGATGTGATCGAGCTGCTGAGAGGCGACCCCGAGTCTCAGTGGTGGGAGGTGGGTCCTGGGGCCCGGAGGGGCAGGTCTGGGGGTCGGGGACCATCCCTGGTGGAGGGAGGCAGGCTGTGAGCAAGACCTGAGTTCTTTCCCAGGCAGGAATTCCAGGGGTGCCCAGCCCTGTGTTCCTCGGGGTGTCTGCTTTCACGGGCCGAGTACAGCATCCCCTCCTGATGCCCTCCCATGTGCCTCCTGCTGGGGTGCGTCCTGCACACCCTCCCCAAGGCTCTGCCTCGGCCCCGCTGTGCCCACCTCCTGCCTACCTGCCTAGTGCAGGTCAGAACTGCAGTGGAGCAATCAGGCATCGTGCTGGCCCCGGGGGGTGGGGGACACTGTGACTGAGACCCATCACCTTCCCCCAAGGAGCTGCTATGTGGTGGAGCAGAGACAGACGGGGTCACAGTGCCCTGGGATGGTTATGGTTCTGAGCCATGAAACTGTTCTGTGAACAGGCCCACGAAGGCGGAGCCCTCCTGCACCCACCTGCCCCTGGGCACCCGAGACCCACGGGGGTCAGCATGGTGCCACGGGAGCTCAGGGCACTCGGCCCAGCCTGGCCGACCGGGTGTGACTGAGACCTGCTTCGAGTGAATGTTTGTTATGTTCCCGTGATTGTTACTGCCATCACTGTTTTGTGATGGTCCTTTGTCACTGCATACTTACTGATGAATTTATTGTGCTAGACCACGCCTTCACATAACTGGAGATTCGGAAGGTGCAGAAGGGGGTCTGCAGTATAAAGTCTCTGTCCCACTCTAACCCCAGCTCCCAGCAAGTCTCTCAACTACTTCTCTGGGCCTCAGTGTTCTCATCTGTAAAGTGGGGACGCCACCCGCCTTCCTGACCTGGGGTCATGAGGTCGGCTGAGGCTACAGCAGGGAGTGCTGCCGACACGTGCTCTTCTTAGGACCTGCCCTCACCCCGTCCTTAGAATAAGCTGAGCCGCACGGCGGTGCCCACTGTACCCACTCCCACTGGCCTGGCCCGGCCCCTATCGTCTGTCTCCTTCCAGGGTCGGCTGGTGCAAACCAGGAAGTCAGGCTACTTTCCTAGCTCATCCGTGAAGCCCTGCCCCGTGGACGGAAGGGTGAGCACTTCCCACAGAAACTTCTGGAGCGCAGTGTCCGGGAGGCTGGGGCTCCTGAGGGCTGTCTCCTCACTCGGGGCATCTGGGCTTGGTCAGCACGTCCTTGCTAAGTAGCCATTGCTGGCCCCGGAGCTGGGAGTTGGGGGGCCGAGGGGCAGGGGGTGCCCTTGGTCTGAAGGGCTCAGCCGGTTGGGTGCTGCATTTCTCGTGGTTTTAGAAACACAAAAATGGGCATTTCTGCAGCAGTCATAATAGGTGGAAGACCAAAAATGTCACCTTTCTCCAAATTTTAGGGACTGTGTAAGTCTTCTGGGACTATTTTACAGCCCCAGGGAGGAGAGGACTCCCCTGAACATTAGAATTCAGAGCTAGACTTTAGGATATTTGGAAAAAGGTCTTTCATCTGAGTAGTATGGAGCAAATCTTTCTCTGTTACAAAAGGCATCAAGCAGTCAGTCGTGAATAATGGAATTACATTCACTCACCCCCTAAAAAAGGCATTTAAAAGTGCTGGAGGGAAATTTCTCCAGAGGGAGCAGGAGGTGGGTCCAGAACACCACGGGAGCCCCGGTGCACCCTCCAGGCCCCGCCTGGCCTCTGGCCCCATCTGCCAGCGTCAAGGGACCGGACAGCGGAGGAGGAAGAACATCACTAACTCACTGGGTGGCCGGGGGCAGGTCCCATCCCTGCCCTGGGCCTCAGTTTCCCCATCTACATGGTGAATGAGGTGGAAGGGGTTAGGTAGTCCATGAGGCCTTGCCTGGCCTGTGGCACAGTGAGGGGAGGCCAGGGTGGGGCCTCTGGCTGGTGAGGGGGCGGCGTGGAGTCTCGAGGCTGCTTGGCCAGTGTGTGGCCCGCCACCTGGAGGAGAGGCTGCCGCCAGCCAAAGGACCCCTGCCCTTGGGGCCCTGAGCCCATCTGTAGAAAGGAACTCTAGCTGTAGGATGTGCTCCTGTCTCTGCTGGGACATTCCCACAGCCTTCGGTCACCTCTCCTTGGGGATACGCGCCCTATCAGTTGGTCGCTGCACATTCAATCAAACCCACTGGGACCGCGCAGTCCAGTGGCTCCGGGGCTAAGTCCACAGATACCACAGTAGACAGTGCTGGGCCCGAGGGTCAGGTCGCTGATCGCAGGGCCCCTCTGGCCCCACTCGGGACAGGACATTAACCCGAATGTTCTCTCCTGCCAGCCGCCCATCAGCCGGCCACCATCCCGGGAGATCGACTACACCGCCTACCCCTGGTGAGTGGGGCAGTCGCGGTGGCCCCGTGAGCTCGTGAGCAGGCCGGGAGGGGTCCCCCGGCTGCCTCTTGCTTATGTCCAGGGTGGCTGAGCCCTGCTGGCTGTATGTCTCTGGGAGCCTGGGGGAGTCTTCTCTACCCCCGAGGCGGGTTTTCCCCATCACGAAAACAGGTCATCGGGTTATCATTTGGGAGAACAAAGCCCCACCTTTTTTTTAACATGAGCTGCATCATAGAAAATATAGGAAAGTGGGATATTTAGGCCAAATGTGTAATCACACACGTATGCATGGAGCGACTTGATGAGAACCGTGGCGCTGTTGGGACCAACGAGAGCGCGAGGGCGGACGATCCAGGAACAAGTCCCAGAGAGGTCAGCTCGGGGGCCAGCTCTTACTGGTCTGCCTGCTGGCCCCCCAGCCTGCCTCAAAGGGCCTGCCTTATGGTCGTAGCTCCCTGTGTTCTGCGTCCTGCGGGCAGCTCAGGTGTGGTAAACCCCTACCCCAGCACATCTGGCCTTGAGGTTTTCATCTGGGGGCTCACCCTGTACCCAGGGGTGCGACGCCCCCCCCCCCCCACCGGGGTCCCGGCCTCCTCCGCCCCCGGGCTTGGCCTTCCCCTCCAAGCCTGAGATGCCGCAGGTCCGTCCGCCCAGTGCCATGTTCCTCGCGCTCACGTCCAAGGTCGAGGGTGCAGGACTGGCCTGTGATTTTCATTTGAGGGAGTGACAGAGAAGCTCCATTTCCTGCTGTAGGTTCTATCTCAGCTGCACATTATTTACCACAGTCCCCAGTCGGCCTGGCGGGCGGTACAGGTGGTAAGAGGTTTGTTTGGGAGGGGGCAGTGGGGCTCACCTGGCTGTCTCCAGGGTGGGCTTCCCTTCAGGGAGGCGGCAGTCTGTCAGTCTGTCCAAAACCCGTCAATGGCGATGTCTGCGGGCCCTCGTGCATTGCAATGAAAGTAAAAAGTCCACATGAGTGTTTATTTATTACTTGCTTTTCCAACAGCGAAAACTTAGAAATTTGTTCTAATGCTCATGTTGCTCGAGCCCCTCTTGCAGACCAGGTTCTGTAGAAAGCCCCCGGGGGCCAGGCTGGGGTCTGAGGGACTCATTCCTCCCCACGACGATGTCACCTCGCGAGTGCCCCTCCTGCAGGGGCTCAGGTGGCTCATGATGCCCATTAGCGCTGTTGCAGAGGCCTGGGTGTCCTCCGGGCAGTGCCCATGTTAACCTCTGGCTTCGTCCCACCTGCTAGGTTTGCGGGCAACATGGAGAGGCAGCAGACCGACAACCTGCTCAAGTCGCACACCAGCGGGACCTACCTAATCAGGGAGCGGCCGGCCGAGGCGGAGCGCTTTGCCATAAGCATCAAGTACGTGGTGGCCCGGGGAGCAGGGAGACCTCTCCCCCAATGGCACTCTGAACCACGAGCCCGCGTCCCTCGTGGGTGGGGGTGGCCATGGACTTCATTGCCCGAGGCAGGACCCTTTTGAGATGAAAGCCTGTCAGTGGGTCTGCACAGCGTAGCTGGCCCGGGACATGTGTGAAGGCCCTGCCCAAAGACACGCGGTGGGCTTGGTTCCACGTTTTTCAGGTTGCGGGCAGGGGTACTGTGGGAGTTAGGGGCTGGCAGCCCTGCTGGTGGGCTTTGGAGAGAATGGGAAGGTCACACTACTATGGCCTCGCGGCTTTAGCCAGTGGCCTTTGATCTGGTTGTCCTCTGCCCAGAAGCTCTCCTCTCATGCATCTGCCACCACCCCTTTGAAAGAAGGAGTCTGCCTGGTGGCTGGGCACCATCGGCATAGGATGCCCACTGAACATCTTGGGTCAGGCCCCTGGCAGCCCACGGGCCAGCAGATAGGGGCTGTTGGCTCTGATGACCCCCAAGGTCTGGTCTGGTCAGCTCTCGACTGCCACCCCTCAGGATGGCCTGTGTCTGGGGAAGGCCTCCACTGGTCTGCTGGAGGTCAGAATCCCACAAATGCTTGGAGCATGAAACAAACCCACTGGCTCTAAAGTACTGGGAGCAAAGGAGACCAGCGTCGGAAGGGACAAATGTCCAGTGCAGGAGCTGGACGTGGCCCGGGTCCCTGGTAAGCAGGGCCTGCTCCCCAGCTGAGGTTCCTGCACACCTGTCGTGGGCCCCGGGGAGTATTACGGACAGTGACGGAGTGTGGGCCGAGGGGCAGGTCTGTGGTGCGGGCAGCCGGCCAGCACCAAGCCAGGCAGGGCAGAGACCACACCCCCCTGATGGGAGTTCACGCGGCACCTTCTGGGTGCCTGGCCTGCAGGGCTCCCCCGGGGGGCTGAGATCGGCCCAGGAGCTGGGGGTGGGGTTAGCAGCCCCCCCTCCGCTGACTTTCAATCCCGGAGAAACCGTGGGTGGTCTACAAAGGCCCCCCCCCAGGAGAGGCCACTGGCTGGATTCGATTATCTGCCAGTTGTTTGTTCCATTAACCAATTTCCAGTTGTTAAACCAACCTTGCATTCCCAGAATATCCCACTGGGTGTGGTGCAGAGTCCTTCTTAAATATTTGGTTTATGTATGCATACACGTGGGGAGAGATTCAGCTTCCTGGTGGTTTGCTGAGGACTTTTGCATCTATACTCATAACAGTTGTTGGTGTGCTTCCTTCTCTTGGGGTGTCTGTCTGGCTTTGATACCAGCCGGCGAGGGGCTGGAGTGGTATTTGGGGAGCAGGGGGTATGAGGAGGCTTTTCTGTAAGGTCACATTTGAATGGAGACCCGAGGATGCAAGCCCAGGAGGTGAGGATGGTGGGGGGCAGCCCTGGTGGGCTTGTGCTTGGCCTAAGTCATGACCTCCACGGCCCGAACACTCTGCCCAGGTTCAATGACGAGGTGAAACACATCAAGGTGGTGGAGAAGGACAGTTGGATCCACATCACAGAAGCGAAGAAATTTGAAAGCCTCTTGGTATGTGATCCTGTGCCTCCTGGGGCCTGGTCCATGGGGGTCAGGGGAGGGCCCCGGGGGTCCCACCGCCACCAGACCAAGAGAAGAGGCCCCCTGCACCCTGCTGTCTGCAGGCCGCGCTCACAGAGGCCAACAGCCCGGTGGGGCTTCCGCATCACTGGGGAGAATTCAAGGAAATGGGTCTGGAGGGCTCCTCGGGACAGTTCAGGCCTCAGGACAGCCCCTGCATTGGGACTTCTGCCCCCAAAGGGTTCACCTGGGTGGACAGTGAGGGGAGGGCCCACCTGCCCTCCCTGCAGCCCTGCAGCCCAGCTCCCACACGCCCCCACAGCCCCCCTCCCCAGCCAGAATGCAGGTAAAAGCACCAGCCTTCTTCACACGATTTTAAAGTGAGACCTGTTGCGTCTTTTCTAAGTTATGAGCATTATGTGTACCGAGAGGATCTGACTCAAGCACCTGAGCCCTCAGACGGCCCACTGTGGCCGCAGAAAAGCACAAAGTAAAAAGTATCCACAGTCTCCCACCCACCCCCAACCCCAGTGATAACATTTCAGGGTGAGTCCTCCCGACCTCAAAGAATAGCTTAGGTGTGGTTTATATCACGGTTTTCACACGAAACCATTGGCCATACTGTGCTGTCAGTCCGCTTTTCAACGTGATAAACTTTGCCGTGGGCATAGCCCTCTCCTCTCCCAGCTGGTAGCCACATGGCAACCGGTCACTGGTACCTGCTGGTCTTTCGGGAAGCCCTTCCTTGGTGCCGGGCACGTGGGGTTGCAGGCTTTCTCCATCACAAAGTGCTGCGGCGAGCCTCCGAGTGCCGGTCTTGGCTTTCACCCCTGATTTTCCTTGAGCAGCTGCTGGAGAGAAACTGCTGGGTTGGGTCTTTGAGACCTGGACCACCCACCCTGGGTGGGGTGCTGGGCGGAGAAGACGAGTGCCAAGTGAAACGGGAGGGAGAGGGAGGCCAGGGCACCTGGGAGGGCTGCCTGGAGGCGGTGAGAGCATCAGCGAGCACGTGTGTCCTGCAGGAGCTGGTGGAGTACTACCAGTGCCACTCGCTCAAGGAGAGCTTCAAGCAGCTGGACACCACGCTCAAGTACCCCTACAAGTCAAGGGAGCGCGCGGCCTCCAGGGCCTCCAGCCGGTCTCCAGGTAATGCCCGCGCCCACCCGGCACACCAGCGCTCACTCTGCCCATTTCCCATGGCCCTGGCTTTCACCACCTCCCTGCCCTTGAGGAAGACTTTCTGTGGGACTGAGGCCAGGAGCCCCTTCCCTGTCTCCACCCCTGGGAGCCCATCACAAGCACCCTCCTGAGCCAGGGTGTCCTGGCTGGTCTACGGGACAGGTGGGGAGTGTGGGCTCTGAATGGCCGGGCCTTGGCACCCGTGCCCAGAGTCAGCATGGGGAGAGAGCAGGGCCGGTCCCATCTGTGCTTAGATCCCTCCCTGCGCCCCCAGCCCCCTGGGGGCCTTCACTGTGAGGGAGCTGGAGCGGGTACCTCCGTTTGTGGGCCAGGCTCCACGGCTCAGGACAAGGGGGCGTCTTGCTTCAGGCCCACCGGGAGTTAGAGTCAGGGTGAGCCCACGGCTGTCCGCTGCACCCCCCCGCGTCCCCAGCCCCTGGGGCAGAGCAGGGCGGGAGAGGAACAGCGGACCTTCAGCAGGCAGCGGGTGTGCGCTGGGCGAGAGGCCGGGCTCCCTGCATGAAGAGTTTCCGAGACCCTGGAGCCAGCCCGCCTGCTGGGAGGAGGGGGTCCGGATTCTCCAGGGAACAGGCCCAGAGAGGTGGCGGGAGGGGCAGCTCGGAGGCCGCCAGGCTGTGCTCCGCAAGCCCCGGGCAGGCCTGGCCCCACGCGCCCTGCGCTCTGCCTGCACGTGCCTGGGCACGCACGGGCCCGCTTTCACGTTCTTTCTCACCTCTTTGCAGCTTCCTGCGCCTCCTACAACTTTTCTTTTCTCAGTCCTCAGGGCCTCAGCTTTGCTTCTCAGGGCTCCTCCGCTCCCTTCTGGTCAGGTACCACTGGCGCTCGGGGCGCGGGCCAGGGACGGGAGGGGCCGGCCGCCAGGGCAGGGCTGAGGATGCGGTCAGGCTTGGCGCTGCCCCCCTCGCCGCCGTCACCTCTCGGACTCGCGCACCCTGATGGCCACTCCCCAGCTTGGTAGCTCCTGTCCCTCCTGGCTTGTTGAGAGCTTTGCCTCTGGCAGCAGCAAACAGCTGGGCGGCCACCCGCGGGGCGAAGGCGGGAGCAGATCGGGCGGGCCCCACCGGGCAGGCCCTGGAGGTAGGGGGACGGGGCGTCCATTGGCCCCAACTGCGTGGCCCTCCGCTGCCAGAGTCAGAGCCCCTCCCCAGCCGCTGTGTGTGTCGCGTCCATCACGGACGTTGTCCCCTGCTCAACAGGGCTCCGGGCCCCCCCCTCCCCCCGCTGAGCTGGTCTAGTTAGGTGTCTGGTTTGGTTTGGGGATCTGGAAGTTGGGCCCCGGGACCCTGGGGTCTGGCTCCAGGTGCTCCATCAGAGTGCAGGCTGGAAGCTGGGCAGTGGTCACTCAGCTGACCCCTGGCCAGGTGACACTTGTGCATCAGGCATGCAGGGGGAGGCCCTGCGGGAGTTGCAGTGGTCAGAACACCGGCCTCTGCTCTGACCCCATGACCACAGTTGGCTGTGACGTCCCCCAGTGTGGCTGGCAACTGCTCCGAGTGCCTTCATGGGAGGCTGGAAGAGGCCATTGCCTGTAGGGCTGGGTGGAATTGGAGAATAGTCTGTGCCTCCAGAGCCTTTCTACTGGACAGCCCTCCTCTCTGCATAGGGGGCCAGACACCAGGGGTCCACGCTTGGCCCCGCCGCCAGCTGTGTGACCCTGCCCATCTCCCCCAACAGTGTTCACGCCCCGTGTCATTGGCACGGCCGTGGCCAGGTACAACTTTGCTGCCCGGGACATGCGGGAGCTCTCGCTGCGGGAAGGCGATGTGGTGAAGATCTACAGTCGCATTGGCGGGGACCAGGGCTGGTGGAAGGGCGAGGCCAATGGACGGGTAAGTGGGGCAGACATGGCCTGGTTCAGCCTGCAGGCCGGGTTTGGGCAGGCTGGCATCTCAGCGCAGCCTGCCCCAGCACTGTGCCCACACCCCCTGAGCTTCCCCTGGTTGGAGCTGGATCCAGGCCCATCTGATGCTGTATCTGGGCTCAGTCCTGCTCCGTGGTCTTCTGTGGCCACAGCAGGGCCATGTGTTTTGTATGCACTCTTCACGTTACTTGCGTGTACCCAAGCCCTTTGTGCAGGCAGAGACCACAGGTTGCGAGCAGGGCCCAGGAGTCCTCACTGGCCTCACTTACGTCATGGGGAGATGGGAAGGGGCACACCATGTTCCCACTCACCCTGCCCCTTCATGCTCTTCCTGAGGACTCTCTCTTCCCTGTCCACCCTGTGACCCTGCAGCACTCTATGGCCCCTTATCCCTGCACCCTGTCTGGACCCCATGGCTTTGACCGTCTCTGTCAGAACTCACCCAGCAGGGTAGTGGAGCCCCATGTGGGGCATATTTGGAAACGTCCAGCTATCCTTGGGGCTGTAGGTGCCTGCAGGCAGGCACGTGGGCTTTGGAGGGTCGGCCTGCCTTGGCTCCCATTGTCCACCATTCCGTGGCCAGGTGGCAGGAGCTGGTCTGCCTCCACCTAGCATGTTGACTGCCCTTTGGAGGCCTGGGGTTAGATCCATTTTCTACCCCACATCCCTTCAGAAGTGTGAGGCCTCCGAGTCCTGGGCAGCTGACCTGGAGGGCTGAACCACTAGCTCTCAAAGTGGCCCTTGGGGTGCCAGCACTGGAGGTACCTGGGGCTGTAATTCAATGAGCACATACCTGGGTCCTCCGTACCCAGATCCTGAAGGTCAGGAATAGATGAGTTTTCCAGGTGATTCAGAACTACTGGCTTAGAGTATTACTAGATATTCCTGTTGCTTTGACCCGTTATGAAGTGTTTCTTTTTGTCTGTGACAATTCTTCTTGCTTTAAAGTCGACTTTGTGTTGTTAGAGCAAGCCAACTTTTTTGTGGGGGAGTTAGTGTTGTATGTGGCAGACTTCACCCTCTCTTGCATTACTTTAAACTTTCCTGTATCCTTATATTTAAGGTAGATATAAGATAAAATGTTATCTTAAACAGAGTTTTTAGAGCTAGTCTGTTCTAACAATCTCTGCCTTTTAATGTGTATGTAGCCCATTTACATGTAATGTAATTACTGAGCTGCTTAGATTTAAATCCGTCATCTTTCTGTTTATTTTCTATTTGTCACATCCATTTCTTCTTTTTCCTCTTTTCTTGCCTACTTTTGAATTATTCAGTATTTTTTTTTTCTATTCTACTTCCTGGCCCCTTGGTGGCCGTTCTTTTCCTATTATTTAGGAGTTACCTTAGGGATTACAGCATGCACTTTGACTTCGGAGAGCCCACTTTAAATTAGTACTTTTACTACTTCCTGGATGATGCAAAGATCTTACAACTTGTGACTGTATTCATGTTCCTCCCAACTTTTGTGCAGATGTCATCATGTATCTTAATTCTATATATTTTTCAGTCCCGTGAGACATTATTTTTGTTTTAAGCAGTTAGTGTTTGTTTAGAGTTACCACCTATTTACCTTTCCCAGGGCTCCCCATTCCTTCCTGCTTCTTGTATTTCCACCCAAAATCATGTTCCTGCTGCCTGAAATTCCCTCTTCTTGGTATGTTTTTTAGTGTGAGTCTGCTACTAATAAATTCTTAGTTTTTGTTGGATCTGAACACCTCTTTATTTCATTTTCTTTTTTTATGTTCTCATTATATAACATTTGTAATGTATTTGACACAATTTCAAACCTAAAGAGAAGTTGCTATAGCACAAAGAGCTCTCACAGAGAGCTCCCAGACTTACCAGTTAAGAGTGGTTTGCATGTTTGCTTTATCATTGTGTTCTCCCTCCCTCTCTGCTTATTTTCCTCTTAACCATTCGATAGTAAATTGCAGAAGTCCTATCCTTTCCCCCCTAAACCCCTAAGTACTTCAGTGTCCTATGATCAAAGACATTCCCCTTTGACAGAATATGATTATCTAATCCACAGTCCATATTCAGATGTCACCAGTTGTCCCAACTGTGTCTTGTCTACCTAAATGAATTGCATTTACTTGCTATGGCCCTCGACTTTGTTCTAGAACAATCCTCAGCCTTTCTTGGTCTTACATGACTTTGACATTTTTGAAGAGTACGGGGTCAGTTATTTTTGTAGACTTTTCCTCCATTTAAGTTTGATATTTCTTTGTGATTAGGTTATGTATTATGTATTTTCAGTGGGAACATAATGCAGATGTTATATCCTTTTCACTACTGTATTGTCTTATCCAGAGATATATAAGGTCAGTTTGTCCTATTATTGTGACATTAATTTTAATCATTTGGTTAAGGTGATATCTGCTGAGTCTCTCCACTGTGAAGTGACTGTAATTAATCAGTTATCTCCAGGGTAATACTTTAGAATTATTAAATATCCTGTTCCACATTAAACTTTCACCTACTAGTTTTACCATTATCATTCGTTGATGAATTTTGTCTCATCACTTATTCTTATCATGGTTGAAAAACAGTGATTTTCCAGCCATTGTTTCTTTAACACTTACTTACTAGGGGGCATTCTACTGTAAGGAACACCCTTCTCTTCTCTTGGTCATCCCCCCTCATTCCATTGTCCCCAGTTCCATCATTTCTGTAAAGTGCTGGCCAACTTTTTTTTAAAAGGGCAAGGAGGGGCAGAGGGAGAGAGAGAATCTCAAGCAGACTCCACGCCTAGCACAGAGCCCGACTCGGGGCTTGATCTCACAACCCTGAGATCACGACCTGAGCCAAAATCAAGAGTTTGACGCTTAATTGGCTGAGCCACCCAGGTGCCCCAAGAGCCAGCCAACTTCTTAACATTGCTCCTTTGCAGGAAATGTCTCTATTACTCCCCAGTGGGGCTTTACATGTTAAAAAACAAAACAAAACAAAAAAACGAAACTCTGGTTTTTATCAGTTTTGCTATAATGTGCCTGGGTGCGGTTTTCTCTGTATTCAGTCTGCTTGAGATTTGTAGAGATTTTTAAAATCTGTAGCTTGATGTCCATCAGTTTTGGACATTTCTTCAAACAGTATACTTGCTGTTTTCTTTTTTCTCCTCTGGGGGCTGTATTCACATGAGTGTCAGTTCTTTTCATCATGGCCGAGATGTTATTTACCTTCTTTTACCTGTTTTTCACCCATTCCCTTATTTCCCACCCAGCTACTTTCCACGGGCCTGTCTTCCAGTTCATGAGCACTCTCTTCTGCTCTTTCTAATCTGTCGCTCAATTCTATTGGGTTCTTAATTTCAGCCATATTTTCCACATTAGGATTTCTATTTGATTTCTGGTTTCAGTTCACTGGTAAATTTTTATGCTTTATCCTCAGTTTTCTGAAACATATATGTTGCAGTTATTTACATTTCCTGACTGATGACTCCCATCCCTGAATGACCTGTAGACTGGTTTCTGTTACCTGCGATTTCTCTTAGTTTCTGTCACTGCGTCCTGACTGGATGATGAGCTTGTGAAGAAAACACCACTGAGGCTTGGGATGGTGTTATTTTCCTCCAGGGAGGATTTACTTTTTTTCTGGCTGGCAGGTTGAGGGAGGGCAGGTCATTGTGAACTGCTCTGGGCTGGTGCATTTGGGAGTCGCTCCAACCCTGGGCCGCAGCTCCACCAGGCTTCTTGGCTTAGAAGAACTCCACAGTCTTTTGCGGGATCCCCCATTTCCATGAGCCCCTGCTGGCCCTCACCCCGACATTGGTGCAGACACGTGCACACGCACTCTCATGTGATCCTGCCATCTTTTTCAGATCGGCTGGTTTCCTTCAACATATGTAGAGGAGGAGGGCGTCCAGTGATGGCGACAACATGGACAGGACTCGTGGGTTTTCTTGGAAGAGTCCAGCTCTGAAGTCTGTCTCTAGCCCCGTGACGCAGAGGGGACATGCCCGCCAACCTTCCAGTGTTCAACAGCCCATAAGGATGGGGAGGGTGTTCAGAATCCTAAATGCGAACTGGCCCACCATCCACCTGCCCTCGGTGGCCTGTCCTGGGTACGCTACTTGTACATAGAGGCGACTTGGGCCGGACCCGCCGTGGCTGCCACTGCCAGAGTGCTGAGGAGGGGGAGCGCTGGTGGTGTTCTGAGCCAGGCTCTGGGTGACAGCTGAAGCCGGAGTACATCTTGCCCCTGTCCTGTTGCGACGGCATTCAGGAGCCTGGGTTTGAAGAGCAGGTGCTGTCCCAGGGAGGGCTGGGACAGCAGAGGGGACCCTCCCCCAGCCCCTTCTGCTCAGCCTGCCTGCTTTCTGCTGCTCCCAGGGGGAAGCTCTGGGCCTAGAGAGTCAGAAGGGACCAGAGCCAGGCCTTTGCTGCAGCCCCTGCTCAGCCCCAGCTCAGCTCCGGCTGTGCTCGGATGTAGGAGAAAAGAGCTCTGCTGGGGGTCTGCGCAGGCCCCTTGACCTTCTCATGGCCCTCTGCACTAGGGGGATGCAGAGACCGCCCAGGGCAGGTCCCTCTCTCAGGAGGGAGCTCTAGTGAACGATGAAGTTGCCGGCCCTGCTCCCCAGTCAACGGTACTGTTCTTCGCCCTGAACCCCAGGCGTGTGTGTCTGTCCCGTCCTGCTGCCAGGTGGATGCACCTTTTGTAAATCCTGATATGGGTGAGAAGAAAACAGAGTTTTCCCCTCGCTCGGGCCCTGCTGCTCACATTCCCCTCCAGGAGGAGGCCCCCCCACCCCAGCGCCCCCCAGCAGGTGGCCCCTCTGGGTCTCCTGTGTCCTGCAAGGTGGTTCCTGAGGGTCTTCCCAGCTTTTGCACAGGATGTTAGTTCTAGCCCTTGGCAAGTCTTCCCCCTGCAGCCCATGAACTGGGCCCGTGGCCAGCTCGAAATAAGTGCTCTTGGGGGTGGCCTTACCCCCGAACTCCCCCTCCTGACTCCTCCCGGCCTTTTGAGCTCTGGCTCTCTTGTCCAGACCCTTTTAGTCTGCCTGGATGTTGCATGAGACCTAGGGGTGTTATCTCCCTGCAGGCTCCATGCCATAGCTGCTGGAGAAACCCGGGCTACATGTGTCCCCTGTACCTTGGTCGGCTGCCCTGCCCTGTGCAGGGGGAGGGGACTGGGCAAGGCCGGGTGTGGGGAAGGCTAGCCCCCACTGGGGTGGGTGCTGGTTGCCACTCTGCACTCCTGGGCTTCCTCCGAAATCAGCCGTGTGGCCTCCAGGCTTGGCTCACAGGCCCCATGTCCCGGAATGGGGAGGTGGTGGGGAGTGGGAGGCTCCCCTGCGGTGGCCTGCAGAGGCTTGAGAAGCCCGGGTGAGCAGGATCGTGTTTGGGGGCAGAGGGGCAAGGGGAGGGAAGGAAAGAGCTGGTCTCGGAGAGAGCAGCCCCCAGTCCCCATCATCAGGGTGCACCCAGCACTTTGCGCACAACCCTGGGCTCAGCTGGCCCAGCCGTGAGCCTGGTGGGGAGGCGGGGGGAGAACCAGCCAGGCCCTTTCGTGTTTACTGTTGTCAAAAGGGTTTTGTTTTGTTGTTTTGTTTTTGGTTTGGCTTGTTTGTTTTTTAAGGGAAGAAAACAGTTTGTAATTATTTCATCCAAAGCTCCCATTATATATCTGTGAATAATAAGGAAGATATTTTATAATAGCAAGAAAATGATGTATATTTGAGGTCATCATGAAACAAGTCATCACGACAACGAGGGATACTGAGGAAACAGAAGTCGGAACCCTGGTTTTTGTGAATGTTTTGTTTTGTTCTTGTTTGTTTTGAAACATGTATTTGGTTTGGTTTGGTTTTGCACTGCATGAGGCAGGAGGGGAGGCGGGCCGGGGGCAGGCTGGGAAGTGGGTGGTTTCAGCAGGAGATGGGAGGCCCTCTCTAGGGGCTTTGGACTTGGGGCCTGAGATTAGCTGTGAACACTTAGGAGCCCGATGCATGCGGGTCAGGGATCTGGGGGTCCCACAGCTGGTGACGACCCCAAATGGAACACAAACTGTACATTTGCCACTAGGTTTTTTCAGACCGCAGTTTTTATTGCAAATAAACCTAAGTTCTTTTCTGCAGGCGTGGCTGGATCCTTCTGTGTGTCCAGCAGAGACTGCCCCACCCACACACTGTCAGCCCAGGATACAGTGGCCTGGGTCAGGCATAGGCCTTGGGGATGGCCCAGCCTCAGGCAGAGGCTACAGGTCCAGAAGAGATCATGATGCCAGGGCCGCACCTGGCACCTCCTCCCAGCTGGCCCAGGTCCACGGGCTTCCTGTGTAGTATCCCATGGGACCCTCCAGCAGCCATCAGAGGCAACGCCGCTGTCTTCCCATTTGGGGGGCATTCAACCCTAGCCCTACCGCTCAGGCACGTCCTTCAGCTCCTGAGCCTGTTTCTTTATATGTCTATGTTGCAGATAAAAAATAATACTTCTCTTTGGAGAGTGAGTGTGTGGCCTATGATAGAGAAAATCTAGTCAGGCAGAGATTGATTTCTCCTTTATGGAGAAGCAGTCCAGACAAGGTAGAGCAGGGACGGCTTGGTGCCCCACCACCCCCCCAACCCAGGCTCCTCCCCTCTTCAACATGTGCCTCTGTCCTTGCTGTGGCCTCATGGTCCAAGGTGGCTGCTGGAGCTCCTGCCATCAAGGCTGCAGGCAGAGGCAGAGGTCGACACAGTGCTTCCCTTCCCCTCCTTACCCAGAGCTGAGGCATATGGCCACTCCTGGCTGTGGTGGAAGATGGGGACTGCAGGACGTGAGCTGGACACATGGTCACACCTCCTCCCTATTACTGAGGTGACAGAAGAATACCATGGGGGTGGGTGACCAGCCCCAGGATCCACATCAGAGTTGTGAGGATCTCACTAGACTTGGAGTTGTGCTGGTGCTCAGCAAGTGTCAGATTTTGTTGCAAACCAGGGAGGCAAGTACAGATGTTTGAGGTGACCCAGAGAGTGGTGGATCCCACCCCAGCCCTGGTCTCCAGGACCTAGAGCCCCAGAGTCTGGCTCACTCTGATGCCCCTGAGAACCAGATGGGAGGCCTGCCTTTTCTGGAGCAGCCCCCTCTCTGAGCAAATTTCTCAGGCATGAGGCCCCGAGAGGCCTGGTTGTCCCAACACCACCTCCCCCGAGAGCCAGCTCCAGTTCTGAGTTCTCACGCCCATGTGGGGGATGGACAGACCCAGACACTTGCTCAGCATTCCCTGGGCCAGTGGTCCCCGGCTGCCCTGAGCAGGGCTGAGCAAGTTGGAGAGAGCCCCAGGCCAAGAAGCAGAGAGCCATGGTGCCTGGAGGGGAAGTGTGGGTGGACTTGGGGGGGGGCTGGGGAGCTTTGAGGGAGATCCTCAATGGCACCTACTGTGTGGTCCAGACCCAGGAAAGGTGGGAAGCCCCAGGCCTGCTCAAGGGCCCCTGTGTGGATGGGGGTGGAGGCCAGGAGGGAAGAGAAGCGTGTCTGCCTGAGATCACCCCAGAACATGGGAAAGCATCTCAGAGCTGCACACTTCTGGTCAGAGGGCCTGATGCCCATAGGGCTCTCAGGGCACCAAGGCATCATGCCCCTTAATTCTGACAAAGTGGACTTCCCTGGATAGGGCCACTGCAGAGGCCGCCGTGTGGAGCTTTAGGGAAGTTCCCTGGACAAGACATGGGAACCACCCACTTTTGGAAGTGAGGTGGACACCTCTCTCCACTCCTGCACCACAAACATAAGAATGCCGTATAAAACACAAGAGAATAGAAGAGGCTGAGCTTGGAACAAGGTGACCTGTCCCGGAAAGAAGAGACACAAAGCCAGAGCAGATATTGGGAGCCAACACCAAGGTGGCTGCTAGGATCTCAGGCCCTCTGGGGTTGAGACCAGGGATTCCAACACTCAAGGCATTGGCTCCAGGACCTTGGAGGCCAGGAGCCGGAACTGGGTTCCTGTGCAAAGCTGGGGATCTTGAGGAACACCTCCATTATGAAAGGGAAATTAACACACATGGATAAAAGCAAAATCACAGAATGGGACAAAGATTTTGATTGGTTTGTTAACTTTCCAGAAATAAAAGAATACAAAGGCATACCATACCCTAGGACAAATTAACACAGAATGGTTAACCCTGGACTTCCAAAGATGAAAAATCACGAATGTAGACAATTTAAAACTTAATGTCATACCAAATAGATTTTAGAGCAAGACAAACAAAAGGTGTCACTAGAGTTTTAAAAGGCTTATGACATAATGATAAAGTTCTCATTTATTAGAAAACATCACAGTTTTAAACTAGTATGCTTTTCATAATATAACCCCAAAATACATAAAGCAAAATTGACAGAAGAACAAAAAGAATGAGACATACCCACCATCATAGATGGGAGGTTTTAATACAACTTTTTCTCTTTCTCTCCATAACTAAAAAGTCAAGCAGACATTGAAACAAGAAAAAGTAAGGCTAGAGAGTAGAATAACATAATTAGCTAATTAAAATAATTAATAACCACAAAGGAAATTCAAGGAAATTATAAAATATTTCAAATGTATTCTTTTTTTCCCCCATTTTTCCCCCAAACTTATTCTTAAATTTAAAAGGATAGGGGCGCCTAGGTGGCTCAGTCATTAAGCGTTTGCCTTCAGCTCAGGTCATGATCCCGGGGTCCTGGGATCGAGCCCCGCATCAGGCTCCCTGCTCCGCAGGAAGCCTGCTTCTCCCTCTCCCTCTGCCACTCCCCCTGCTTGTGTTCCCTCTCTCGCTGTGTCTCTCTCTGTCAAATACATAAATAAAATCTTTAAAAAAAATAAAAGGATAAAGATACTTGATAACACAACTTGTAGTATACTACTGAAATAACTTGAACTGAAATTGGTGACCTTGACAGCTTGTATTACAAGAGCCAAGGACTGGAGGTAGGCTTTCCTTCTTTCAGGCTGAAACAAAGCGTTGATTCCTTGAACAAAAGTTTTATGTCTCCGTTAAGCATGTTCAAATTATCTATTTAAAGTGTAATTTTTCCAAGTAGAAAATTACAAACGTATTAAATGTGCACAATTTACAGGGTTTTGAAATTGCAGTTCTTGTTCCAATGGCTCTGTCTTCCCGTGACTTGTCTCCACCGTTGGAGGAGGGGATGGTGGTGGGGATTTCCCACGATAAGATTTTATAACATTTGTGAGTTCAACTCCGACTCCTGTTCTTTGGTCACAGCTGCTGTGCTTATATTCCCTAACAATTTAGTTTTGGTCCTTTACTTTCCCCAGAAAAAGAAAACCTGCATGTGCCCATGGGATCTATGTGGGAGTTTTACTCACCTGGAATTCTCTCTGGATAATCATTCCACATCTTGACACTTAATGTGCTGTTGGAGCTGTAATCGGATAGGTGCAGCAGGACCCCCAGCCATAGTGCTCTGCAGCCCCACACCAATCAATGTAAGCCTTGGTCTGTTAGGATTACGACCTGGCCATGGGTGATAGGCAGCCTATAAGACAAGAGATGGTTATTTCTTGCTCCTCTAACACTCTGGGTAGAGACCCTGGCTGACAGTGTCAGGGACCCAGGTCTTTCTGGGTTTTTTGGTCCCCAGGGTGTGCCCTTACAAGTTCACCTCATGGTCCAAGACGGGACTTCAGCTCCAGCCCCTGAATCTACATTCCAGCCAATAGGAAGGTGAGGGACAGGGAAGGGATATGACCATCTCTTTTGAAGAATACCTTCTGAAAGTTTCACTCACCAACTCCCATTGGCCATAACTTGGTCATATGGCCACACCTGGGCTGCAAAGAAGGCTGGGAAATGTAGTCTTTATTCTGGGTCTGATTACCCTAAAAGGATGAGAGAATGGGGAAGGCAGGGAGGTGAATAGCCTCTGCCGACGAAGACCCATGACCATGAGGGGTCTGCGGGGCAAAGACAGGTGGTCAGACCCCTTTGAGGCATGTCTTGGTGACGGATGAATAATCTTGATTCACGGGGAAAAGAATGCTGAGCTTTCTCAGATTCTCCACAGTCCAAGCCTACTTGGAATCTGAGTAATCCTCCATTCACTCACATGAGCGAGCTACACCTGTGTCGTGTAAGGGGGTCAAACCACGCACACTTGGAAGAGAACAGAGGTTTTTATTTCAACTGCCCCGGTGACTTTTTGGTCTGACATACTTTGTTTCTTAGGAGAAGAAATCTCTTCTGACCCCCCCTCTAAACCCTAAACCCTAACCCATGTGCTGCATGCGTGCATCTGTTTCCCTCCCTTCCCTGGCAGGTTCAGCAGAAAAGGGACAAATCGTATTCCCAGGGTCGAGACAGGCAGCCTGGCCAGGTGAGAGCCTCTTGTTTGTGGGTCCTGCACTCGGCTCCATCAGCTCCTGGGGGAAGCTGTTGTCAGCATTTGGGAAAGGTCACAGCTTTGTGTCACACTCCAAAGTAGGAATGTCCCGGACACCACTGAGACATCATGTCACAGAAATGTTGAAACCAGAGCAATGGGAAAAGGTGCACCAGGCAGGCGTCAGAGAAGGCAGAGAGACCATTGTTGGTATCAGACATAAAGCACTTTGGGGCAGAAAGCATTCTTATGTGTAAAAACTGTGGTACGTCGGAACCGACTCGTGCCGGCTCCCAAGAGCCGGTCCTGTGTGCTTCTTTCCAACTCCAGATTCAGTGACTCCTCACTGGCAGCTTGACATTGGCCCTGGTGAGAGTGTTTACACCAAAGACATCAGCCAACGCTCCCCACCTCAAGAGCCAAATGTTAAACATTGAGCAGCACCCCACTGGATAAAGAGGTTCATTATTTTATGATAAAAACGGACAATTAAATGCGAAGCTAGAACAATCCTGGAGCTTAATAGACTTCACAACATAGCCTTAAAATATAAAAGAAAAACTGGCAGAATTATGGGGAGAAATGGACACATCCTACCAGGAAAGGGGGTGTCTTACACTGCTCCCGGAAACCGAGACAAAGCCAACAGCCATCAGGAAGGAAGCTCCCTTCCAGGGGCGTGTTCCTTGAGAAAAGTGTAAGCCCAGACTCTGAGCCCAGGCTGTCGGTCCCAGTGGGGATCCACCTTCCAGCCTGCCTATGGGTTCACTTTCTGGGCAGGTCCCTGTCCTGGGGCTGCACCCCGAACTCTGGGTCCAGCTCTCCCAGGGTGTCGTACTCACATGTGGCCACCAGGGGCGATGTTTCCTGAGAAGGCTCAGACTCCTGGAGGGCTGACTGCCTGGGGGTGACCAAGCCCCCCACCGACCACCGCCAGCTGTTCCCCTCACCTAAGCACCTAGAGGGCTTTCGGATCCCAGGGCCAAGGACAGCTCTGCACAGGCGTCTTGCCCTCTATTCACAGCAAGACTCACATTCCCCTGATGGGATTGTTTTGGGGTGCTCTGGTCCCCCGCCCCGGAGCGGGAGAGAGGAAGCTGTCTTTACCTTGGACAATGCCTGGGGGTTCGGGTCAGGGGTTGAAAAAGCAAAACTCCCGGAGGCCAGCAGGGAGTGTGAAAGGGCAAAGTGACAGGGTAGGGACAGTGACCAACTGGACAAAACAGGCCCATCTAAGTGCCTCTGGCTAGGGTGTGGGCCCAGACCGGCCTGTGTGTCCCAGCTTTCCAAGAAGAGCTTGCACATCTGGATTTTTAGAGAAAACCTCCAGGGTAACAATAGGAAGATGTAAGCACAGCCTGAATCAAGGGGGGTTGGGGGAGGCCTCCTGCCCCTGGGCGGCCAGGGTGAGAGCCTGGAGGGTGTGGCTGACGGCTGGGGGCCGGGTGGTGTTGGTGGGGTCTCGCGCCCGTGGTCACTATTTCCCACCCTCGCCTCCCAACACCCTCGGCAGGAAGATCCTCCAAAGATGCGTCCTGTCTCCCCACTGAACAGTTGTGGTGCCTGACGCCGCGGGTGCTGATCCCTGGCCGGGCCCTGCTCGCACTCAGGAGCGGGAGCGAACAGCTCCACCTGCCCGGTTGTTGCACCCGCAGATAATTTGTGGGACCAGTCGCAGGGTGAAGTGGGGGCCCCGGGCCCTGCACGAGGCTGCCTACCCCCGCTGTATGTGTCCCAGGGGTCGAGGGACACTTGAGCTTCCCATTCCTGGGGACACCTGCGTACAGGTGGCCGCAGCCCTGAGTGTGTGGGGAGGGGGCAGGGGGCCCCCTGCCTCTGGAGAGGGACCACCACTGAGCCCCAGATGATGAAACATCCTGTCCTCATGAAAGCATGGGGGTAGCCGATATAGTGTTTTTAGGGTCTTTATTGGAAAAACAAAATCTCAGAAGTGTAATTCCAGCCCTCAAAGTTGTTCTGGAAACTTCCCTGCTCACAGAACTGTCCGGGTCTGGCCCCCCTTGGCTATGTTCTGCCGCAGTCATTTCTCTCCTCTGAGAGGACACGTGAAAATGCTTAGCATGCTGCTTGCCTCCCAGTAGGGCCCTCAGGACACCTCGCAGGGGCCCCGGGGGCCAGGCCGGGCACCACCTCCCCCTGGGTCAGATGTCAGTAAGTGCTGTCCTGTTGGTATTTACTGTTCCTTTTTGCAGGGTCACACACAGAGCTCCGTGGAGGAGCCTCCTCCCCCGACCCATCCCCCTTGGATGTCTGCCCAGAGGGCAGCCTGCAACCACCTCGCTCTGTCCTGGAAGCCAGGCCAGCGGCGGGGGCGGGGGGCTGGCCGGGGCCTGTGGAGAGGGCCACCCTGGGGAAGGGGGAGGCTGGGCCAGGTGCCCGAAGGCCAGGGGGCAGGTCACAGGGGAGGTCCAGGGCCAGGGGGCAGGCCACAGGGGAGGTCCAGGGGCAGGGGGCGGGCTGCTGGACCGCAGGTAACCCCTCACCCTCAAGGGTCAACTGGGACTTCCCTTTGTGCCACGGTTTCCTTTAAAGTGCACCCAAAGTAGATAATATACAATAACTAAATTCAAAACTTCCCCAAAACTGACACTACAGGGGTTATAGTCTCTACCTCCCAGATGGGGAAACTGAGGCTGGGCCCAAGCTGGTACAGCAGGTTGGCAGCAGGAGCCTGCCTCAGTGTCCCTGGCTGGGGCCTGCACACCTCTGGACCCGGGCCCTCCAACACCCAGGGGAGACGAGGTGGCCCATTTCCCCCATCCCCCCACCCAGGCGCAAGCAGGGCTGATCGATCACATCTCCTACAGCGCTGACCCACAGCCAGGCCCGGCCTTCCAGCCACCGCCCCTGTCCAAAGTCCAGGGCGACTGTGCCGCTCGCTTGGCTTGGGACAATTTTGCACCAGCTGCTCGTCCTTGAGTGCGGGGCCGGGAGAGGTCTGGGCTGCCTCGGCCACTGCCCTGGAGCTGCCGGGACCCCTGTGTCCTTCGCCCGTGCTCCTCCTGTCTAGGGCTCTGGCGGGGATGCAGCCACGCTCCTTCTTCACCCTCCCTGACCCGTCCCTCACTGCATTGAGTGAGTGCAGCCTGGCCCCAGGCTGCTGGCCAGGCCCCCTATCTGCAGAGTGACCAGGCTATGCACCGTCCCAGGAAAGCCTCATGCTGGTGGGGTGGCCTTCCTTGGGGAGTAAGTGACAGTCTCTGTCCACATGACGGGGACTGAGAAAGGTAGCAGCACCTGGCCAGGCCAGAGCCCAGGCCACCTCCTCAAAATGCTGGAAGGAAGGGCAGCTTGCTTGGGAGCGCCCCATCACAGCCAGCCTTATGGCCACCTCGCCCTCCATCCCGCCCCAAATCTGTCTTCTTCCTGAACCCAGAGCCCCTCAAGGGTTCTTAGTTGTCTCTGGGTGTTCTAGCCATGCTTTGCATACAGTAGGCGCTCATTAAGTGTAGAGGACAAACTGGCAGCAAGACAGTCGGACAATTGAGAAATTGAAATAACGCAAATAAGAGCATAACTATTTATCTCATCTGTATTAATTACAGTGTGTCACTCCTGCTATTTCCCCGCTCTTAGTAGCCAACATTACTCTATTGCTAACTTTTAAATTCTTTCTTTGATGCGTGGGAGGAGGAGGTCCATTTTATATCAACACCTGTTCTGATGCTTCACACACCCAGAGGTATAGGTACGCACTGTTCCTGCATTTCCTCTGGGCATAGACAGAATGTCCTTGGCCCCCATAGCTTGCTGTGTGGCCCAAGGCAAGCTGGCTCCCCTCTCTGCCCCCAGGAGTCAAATGGAGGCAGGCATTCCTGGCCTGGGAAGCAGGAAGCACCCTGCTGTGGGCAAACCAGAGGCTCGGGGACCTCTCACACAGCGACAGAGGGAGCCAGGAGCTCCGCAGGGTGGGATGCAGACGGCTGGACTTTCTGGCTTGCTTCTGAAGGCAGTGAGCACCCCTGCCCTGGGAATGAACAAGCTGCCGCTGGACGGGCAGGTGCTAGCTGGGGCCATGCCTCACCTCGCCAAGGAGCCCGCAGGATACCACGGGGCCTGGCACAACCCTGTTGCTTACTCAGCACTTATGCCCACCGCACATCTGTGCCAAGGGCAGCTCGGGGCTCGGGGCGCACAGACAGGCAGAGGCAAGCAGGGGTGCTCGGGGCCACCGGCGGCATACTTGTAACCCCTGTTTTAGAGATAAGGGAGTGAGGTCACCCGCCCCATCACCCCCGTTCACAGACCCGCTCCGCTGCCCGCCGCGTTACTGCCCGGGCCTGGGAGAAGCCACAGGCGGTGGGCGGTGCATCCCGCGCGGGCGGTGGGCGGTGACCGGGGCTGGCAGTGCGGCCAGGGAGGGGCCGGGGGCGGGGCCAGGGGCCGGGGTTCCGGCCGGGCTGCCGCCGGGAAGGAAGGAGGGGCCGGCACCCTGCAGCCCCCGGGCCGGGCACAGGCAGGCCTCTGCGGGCCCAGGTCCGCCCGGGGGAGGAGCAGGGCCCGGGCCCTCCCCGCTGGGGGCGGGCAGGCTTGGGATAGGCCCCGAGCGGGCCAGGACTGCTCTCGGCCTCTGGCTGCAGTAACCATCTGGCTGGGTGGGCACGACCTCGGGTCCCCGGGTGCGTGGCAGGGGCCTGGGCACCCACCCTGGTTTCCTTCACCGGGCGGAGGCTGGGCCAGCTTTTTCCTCCATCAGTCTCCCTCGCCCCACAGCCTTTGAGGGGGGCTCCTCTGGCTCCTGTTTCACGGCTCAGGTGAAGTTGTCGCTCAAGCCCCAACCCCGTCCCCACCCCCCCACCCCCGGCCCAGGCTGTCCTGCACCCTCACCCCTGGTAACGCAGGGGCCACACTGCTGACCGGGTGGGTGAGAGTTGGGGGGGGGAGCAGGAGAGCAAGTTAATGTTGAAGCAGCTGCTTCTGGCGGGAGGGGCGCCCCCAGCCGGCCCCCAGCGCTGCCGGGCTGGGACAGCCGGCTGGGCTGGAGCGCAGGGAGGGGGCAGACGGCCGCTTCTGGGGCCAGCGGCTCCAGTGAGATTGGAGGGAGGGAGGCCAGGCCAGAGGCCGAGCAGGAGCGCTGGGCAGTGCGGGTGGGGGCAGGGGGGCAGGTGCCCGGCCTTGACCTTGCCCACAACCACGTGATGCTGACTTTCCGCGGGTAGGGCACCGCTTCTGGGGGCTCCTGGACGATTAGGGAACTTCAAGGACGAAAGGTAAGGACAGAGACAGGCCCAGGGGTGTACCAACCTGTGCCCAGGGCACCTCTGCAAGCCGAAGGGCAGGTGGGCTGTCAGACCGGGGGGGCAAGGGGTGGTAGAGGGACTGAGATGCCCCATCGCCCCCACCCCCTGCTCTGTGAAGCCTTACACATCACAGCTCTCTGCCCCTCCTCTGCCCCCACTCCCCTGGGAGGGTTCCCTGTGTGTGGGGGGAGGCGGTGGGCAGCCCTGACCAGCCTGAGCGCTGGGCCCCTCACCCCCATCCCCACCAATGAGTTGGTGGCTACCCCCAGCCTCCCCGGCCCCAAACCAGGCCCTGGGAGAGCCTGCAGGCTTGGGCTGTGCATGGGCCACAGAGCAGCCCTGTAACCTTGGCCACCTTGGAGGGCCTTCCTGTACCTTGGTCTCCTGCCCTGTAAAATGGGGACAGCAGTCACAGGGGTGCTTACTGAGAGCATCTTTTATTTGGCATGTGGGACACTCTTGCAAACAGAGGTCGACTCTTCAGGTTAATTAGTTCATTAATATCAGTCATGGCTATTAATGCAGGTGGATTCACGACTAAATCCCTCTTACTTGTTCTGCTGACCCCGGAAGTGGGCCCAGGAGGCCCCTCTGCGTTTCCTTTCCTCCCCAGGTTGGGCCGGACACACCCCCAGGGAGACACCTCTCTGGCACCTTCGCTCCTTTAGGAGGTGGACTTCCTGTCACATTCTTGTAATTAAGAGACTTCTCTGGCTTGGGAGGGCTTCATGAAAGAGGGGGGGATTCCAGGTGAGCCCTGAAGGCCACTGGGGGACACAGAGGAGGAGGCAGAGGTGGAGGGGCAGGGAGGGGGTTACCCATGCACACGGCTTCCCCTCCCACACTCCCGTCTGTGTCCAGGTGATGCCCCCTGGGGACTGCCACCTTCCTCTGTCCCTCCCCCAACCTGTCCCACCAGCACACAACTGTGCCGGGGCCTCTTCCTCAAATGCAGACCCGTGGGGCCAGGCACTCGGGAAGACACTCCAGGGAATTGTCTGAGCCCCAGAGGCTCTCAAGACCCCCTCCCCCTCGAGCCTACCCCTCCCCACCTCCCATTCTCACAGTCATTTCTCTGGGTCCTGGGTCTCCCTGAGACCTGAGCTCCTTAACCTCAGCTCTCAGATCCCCTGCCCTCCTCCCTGGCCTCCCTCACGGGTGACCCTACTTCCCTAGACCGCATATTGCCCCTTCCCTCTACCTCCCCGTGCCCCTGCAGCTGTCTAGTGCTCGCACTCTGTCACAGCCCCATCCACTGCCCACATCAGCCCCCGGAGGGCGAGGAGACGGGACAGAGGGCAGGCCGCTCCAGAAAGGCGGGTGGCAGGTTCAGCCAGCAAGGGGTCTTGCTTACAAGGCTTGTCTTGGGGCCTGTAGACGAGCAGTTCTCTGCCCCCAACTGCCAGATCGTAGTTTCTACAGAGGCCTTACGGGGCTCAGTCGCGCACACCGTCCAGAGGGTTTCAAGGACACATTGCTCCCTCAAGCCTGCATCCCTGGGAGTGGCTCCCATGGTGGGAACCGGGGGCTGGGTTCGGGGGAGACAAAATGTACATTCCCAGGACAGGGGAGGGGGTGAGGAGCCTCTGATTACCCGGGTCCAGCTTGTGGGCCCAGCTCCAGGGGTGGGCAGGGACCTTCTGCCTCCCACCGAGGTCGCCGCGCTTCCCGGCCAGAGCCGATGATGCCTCCAGGCCCTCAGTACACCCTGGAGTGTACTCCACTCACGCTGGAGTGCAGGCGCGATTGGGGCCCCGGGGGAGGCGGCAGAGGAAGGAGGGTATGGGGAGTGGTCCCCGGGTCTCACCTGGTGCAGCCCCCACTGCGCCCCTCGGCACCCCAGCCAGCCCTGACTCTCTCCCCAGCTCCCTGCGGCGCTGAGCGCGGAGTCCCCATGGCCTCGCTGAGCAGAGCCCTGCGTGTGGCCGCCACCTGCCCTCGCCGGGACCTGGGGCTGCGTGAGCTGACCAGCCGAGCCGGCCCCACCACCGAGAAGAGGGTGCCATACCAGCGGACCCTGAAAGAGGCCCAGGGCCCCTCGGCGGTGGCCCCGGGCCCAAGCCGGCCCCTGCCCAGCACAGCCAACGTGGTGGTCATCGGCGGGGGCAGCTTGGGCTGCCAGACCCTGTACCACCTGGCCAAGCTGGGCGTGAGCGGGGCGGTGCTGCTGGAGCGGGAGCGGCTGACCTCCGGGACCACCTGGCACACGGCGGGTAAGGGCCAGGGCGGGTGGGGGCTGGGAGGGACTGGACTCAGTGAGGGGACAGTTCCAGGGGGACGACTAGAGGCTTGTTAGAGGCAGCTGAGCAGGAGGAGGAAGGACATGGAGAAAAGATGAGGGATCATCTGAAGGTGGACAGATGGGGGATCCCCTTTGCCCCCCATGTCTCTGAAGAGCCATAGTGGGGAGGAGGGAGCAAAGCTGAGACCAGAGCTGGGAGCCCAGGCAACTATCTGTTCCAAGAACAGAAGCCCCTCCCCAGATGGAGCCACTGGGGATGAGGGGCATCCACAGGCGGGCATAGAGCGCGGACGGGGGACAGAGCCATCGGGTGATGCAGAGCCGTGTCCTCCATGGGCACCAGGTGCGTCCATGATCCTCATCCTCCTAACTAACCGGTGGGCATGTAGTAAGCCCCTAATGTGTGCATGTCGCTAGGGCAACCACCCTTCTGCCTTAACCCTGGGAGCTGGGTGAAGTTTGCAGTTTCGGTGGGGTAAACATTCCCACCTCGGCTAATGTCACGCTACCAGCGTGAGGTCACGGAATGTGGAGCTGGGAAGAGGTTCAAACATCACATGCCTTGTACACCACTGTTCTGCCCTCCCACTGTCCCACCCCAGCTGGGCCAGCAGGCCTCTCCCCTCACGATTACACCGGCCTCGGCCCTGGCCGCCCACCCCCGAGACTCCTCTCTGAAGGGAGCAGCTCTGTTGGTGGTCGGTGCACACGTGGGCTTCAGTCGCTCCTGGCTTGGGGTCCCGGCCCCATCATTACCTGCTCTGTTGTCTTGGGTGTGGGACTGTTTGGCGCCATCTAATTTCACTCTAAAATCATCGTGCCTTCCTTTTGGGGTTGCTCGGTCGCCCTGCGACAGGCTCAGCCCTGGGCTTGGCACACAGTAAGTGCTCGATAAAGGGGACCCCCGATGTTACCACCGTGTGAACTGCCCAGAAAGCCGGTCTTGAGATCAGCTCTGACCCTGTGATTTCTGGCTCATCAACCTCCTGGAGTTCCCCGTGGGCTGCAGAGAAAGACCCAGGCCCTCTGCCTGATCTTCAGGAGCCCCAGGCTGCGGTGGGGAAGGGGGAGCACAGCGGGGAAGGGGGAGCACAGCGGGGGGCTAACAGTGCCCCCTGCCTTCCTGGCCAGGCCTGCTGTGGCAGCTGCGGCCCAGCGATGTGGAGGTAGAGCTTCTGGCCCACACGAGGCGCGTGGTGAGCCGTGACCTGGAGGAGGAGACGGGGCTGCACACAGGCTGGATCCAGAATGGGGGCCTGTTCATAGCATCCAACCGGCAGCGTCTGGACGAATACAAGAGGCTCATGTCGGTGGGTGTGGCCCCAGCCAGAGGTGGGGAGCTCCTGGTGGCGTGGGTGCTCCCTGTCCTGGGGTGGGAGCTGGGGCAGCAGGGCTCGGGGAAGGGGCTCTGACCGATCTGGGTCACCATCAGACCCAGATGCCCTCACTGCTGGGCCACCTGGGACAAGTGGCCATGCCTCCCTGAGCCTCGGCCTTCCCACCTTTAAATGGGACCGTATTGTGGTGCGGACATGGGAGAGGCCCAGTACGTGGGGCTATTAGGGCCACTGTGCTCCGTGCTCATGGGAGACAGGATATATATGAAATCACACCCCCCAGGAGGCAGTGCCCACACTTCTCCCACACCCCTGCCCTCCCCCCCACTCCCAGGCCTGGGGAGGGCCGTTGTCCGGGAGACTGGGAGAGAGGCTCATGCTGCTGATGATCCTTGGATTGGGGTGGGGTGCTGTTTCCTAACCCCGAGTGGCCAGGCCTGGACCCCAAATCCCAGGACATGGGGGCAACAGGCTGCTCCAGCAAACTGTCCTTTATGGAGCACTGACTGAATCCGTGCTCAGCGCCCAGCGAGCAGAGCCAGCCGTGTGGCCAGCAAGGGCCCATTGTCGCAGGGATGCTGAGGCCCCTGGGTGCCTGGGCTGGAGGCAGGGGCCACTGGCTTCACCAGGACAGGTCTGGGTCTCTGGGCCTAGGCGCTGGCCCCCATTCTGCTTCCTCCTCCCTTAGCTGGCTCACTGGCTGGGACAGAGGCCTCCAAGCGAAGCCTTCAGCCCCAGCCTTGGAGCCGAAGACCCCAGCTGCTGAGAGGCCCCTGCCCCTTTTCAGGCATAGTTCTCAGCCGGAGAATCTGACCAGCTCAGCAACTTTCTAGTTGGGTGGGGCCTGTCGTGGTTGTGATGCCTGGGGACACTTGATTGGCTGCCCTTGGGCCAATCAGATGTGATGGTGTGGCCTGTCCTACTAAGTCAAGGGCCCGCCCAGATGAACAGGTTGGTCTCCTGGGAGCTGGTCGGATTGGAGAACCTGATGATCCTCAAGCTCAAAACCCCTCCAATCCCTGGGGGGTGATTTGCATTCGTTTATAGAAGCCCTTAGGTACCAGAGACTGGTCGAAGCTCTTGAGGGGTACCAACCACATAAACGGTTAGCACCCCCAGTCTGCCCAGGGGACTTTAAGTCATTTATGTCAGAGCTGGGTGAAGGTGGGATAGCTCCAGAGCCTGCTCCTGCGCACGGCGTCATGCTCCTTACCCTAGTGTGGAGATGGCCCACCGGACGGGGCGGCTGGGGCATGGTGACCAGCTAAGCCTTCCTGGAGGAGGCAGGGTTGCAGCTGACCCTTGGAGGTGCACACGGGGAGGACAGTGGCCAGAGGGGGTCTGCTCCCTGAGGGCTGAGTCCCTTTGCTCTCGGTCCCTCTAGCTGGGCAAGGCATATGGCGTGGAGTCGCACGTGCTGAGCCCGGCAGAGACCAAGGCGCTGTATCCGCTGATGAACGTGGACGACCTGTACGGGACCCTATATGTGCCGCAGGACGGTACCATGGACCCCGCCGGCACCTGCACCGCCCTCAGCAGGGCCGCTGCTGCGCGGGGAGCACAGGTACCAGCGGCCACGGGGCCCTGTGTCCCCTGCTCCCAGCCCAAGGGACCCGGGGCCCTGCTAGATGAGCACGTTCTTTCAGAATCTCTTCTGTGCTTTTCATCGTTTATCCCAGATGTGCACCTAGTCATAGAAAACATTGGAGAGGACAAATAAGCAAAAAAGAAGAAATGGAAGTCACCCAGAGGGGACAAGTGTTGACGTTTTAGTTTTACCCCCCCAAATATTTTTTAGGAAGATATATTTTTGTAGGAAGAACCAAACCACACTGTTCCATGGCCTTTTGACCAAAGACTAGACTGTAAACACCTGTTGGCGAAGCCAGCCCTGCTTTCTAGAAGTCACTTTATGAGAAAGACCCCACGTGTCTGGGGACACGTTCTCCAAGTCAGGGAGTGCACAGGGTTAGCTTCTGGTGCTGGGGTTACCCCATTTCCCCGGCGGTGTCGCATGACACAGCCCCAGCAGGAGCAGGGATCACAGGTCCTGTCCGGGTGGTAGGGAGCCGGTGACGGCGAGGGTGGTGGGCACCCTCACCAAGACCTCGTTGGCTCTGGAAGCACCCCCTCTCACTCTCAGGTCATCGAGAACTGCCCAGTGAGTGGCATCCGCGTGCGGACCGATGACTTTGGGGTGCGGCGGGTTGCCGCTGTGGAGACAGAGCACGGCGCCATCCAGACGCCCTGTGTGGTCAACTGTGCAGGTGGGCAGGGGTCTGTCCCCGCTCTCGGGCGGCCATGCTGGCTGCTCCCTAAGCCTGGCCCGTCTCTGGGTGGGGGGCCTGGGTGGGACAGACAGGCCCGCAGAGGCTCCCCCTGCCCACCGGGCTGGCGGCCCCGCCTGGAGCCGCAGAGCCGACCTGTCCCTGCTCTGCCCTCAGGCGTGTGGGCCAGCGCTGTGGGTCGGATGGCTGGAGTCAAGGTCCCGCTGGTGGCCATGCACCACGCCTACGTTGTCACTGAACGCATTGAGGGCATCCAGGTAGGGACATGGATGGCCCCAGACCTGGCGTCAGGCTATGGGGGAGGGGGGGCTCAGGGACCTGGCTCGGAACCCCAGTGCTTGCAGGTGGTGTGACCCCTCTCCACCCTTAGCCTCGGGCACCTCATCTGTGAAATGGGCATCATCACACTGGGGGTTTGGGGTGGGGTCAGAGTTAAGTAAAGGAACCCCTGGTGCTGACCCCCTGGACCTTTGGGGCACAGTGATGCCAAAGACCGTGTCCTGCGTGGTGCGGCCCGTCCGGGCTTTGTCACGTTCTGTGCTCCGGGTGCTTCTTCAGGGGACCTGTGTGTGTTTGCCCGCTCCCTAATGTGCCCTGGGTGCCAGTGTCGGAGACGCTGATTCCGGACCCTCAGATCCTCCCTGGGGTCTTGGAGGGGCCTCTGCCAAGGGAGACAGGGGCCTGTGCACCCCTGCCCTCTCTCCTCTTCTCCCCTTCTCATCTCCCCCCCACCCCTGCCCCACTGTGGTGCGGCTGGTAGCTTCCTGTCACCTTGTCAATGACCACTCCTCCCTCCCTCCCTCCCTCCCCCCTCCCTCCCTCATTGTCCATCCACTTATCAAACATTAACCCACCATTCCGTGTAACCCTCCCTCCTTCCTCCCGCTCACCAGCAAACATTGACTGCTGCGTCCCAGGCCTTATTCTAGAAACCAGGGCTGTAAGAGAAAAGGACCCAGTTCTTGTCGGGGTGGAGCTGGGGGGCAGGTACAGACCGGTGAGGGAGCAATTCCCAAGCAGGCTGGTGGGGCTCTGAGGAGGCAGGCAGGGGGCTCCAGGGACTCCTAGCCCAGGGAGCGGAGTGCGGGGGCCTGGCAGCCCAGGGCCTGCAGGCAGTTCAGGGGGGGCCAAGAGGGTGGGGGTGGGACCCAGCAAAGAGGGTCCTGCCCCGGAGGAGCCTGGCTTCCGGCTCGTCACTGGGACCACAGCGGTGGAGGGGCCCCGGGGCGGGTGCCGGGCCCCGCACGCACTCCTGCCCCTCTCCGTTGACACAGGGCTTCCCCTGTTCGTGGACGGGTGTAATGGGATCCAGCACAGGCCTCCTGATGGCTGCTGGATGCCCCGTGCTCTGTGGCTCTGTGAGGAGAGCTCCCGGGTGGCCGCCAGGGGTCGCCCTCAGGCCACAGTGGGCCCCGGAGTGCTGGGGACAGGCTGTATCCTGGGGAGGGATCCTTCTTCTTGGGTGGCCACAGGGCTGTGCGCCCTAGGAACACCCAGGTCTGAGGGTCTGGCCCAGGGCTGGGTCCGAGCCGGGCACTGCACCCAGCTGCTCTGTGACCTGGTCCCCTCCCTCTCTGGGCCTGGGGTGTGTGTCCCACAAATGCAGTGCGTTCCACGCTCTCTGCCGGTCTGCGTTCCACCGGCCCCTGCCTGCTTTTGCAGACACCGCTCTACTTGGGCACCAAGGGATAGGAAGGCTCAGGCTTGGTGGCGGCGTTCCAGCTCCTCCGTTACCCAGCCAGGCAAGTCGTAGTGCTGCATGTGCCTCAGTTTCCTTTTCTGTAAGATGGACAATAGGGTACTGATTGAATGGGACTGGCTGAGGGAGGAGCCTGTGACGGAGGGGAAGGGCTGGGTGTGGTGCGTGGCCTGTAGCAGGTGCTCCTCAGGTGGTAGCTGTGGTGAGGATGACAGTGGCCAGAACCAAGGGGCACAGGGTGGTCCAGCTGGCGGGTGCCTCAGAGGACGAGATTAGGGAAGGCTGGAGCTATCAGGCAGGCTTCCCAGAGGAAGCGGCCAACAGGATTTGGAAGGAGTGAGGCACAGGAGAAACAATGAAAGGGAGCAGGGTGAGGTTGGGAGGAAGGGACCCTGGTGGGACCCGGGTCATAGCTGTAGGGTGGGCTTCTGCATGGAGATGGCAGCGAGGGTGCCCTGAGGACGCCTCGGTCACTCCAAGGCCGCTCAGTGTGCTGGGGCCTGGGAGCTAGAACAAAAGTCAGAGGCTTCCCCCGCCACCAGGTGTCCCCACTGTCCTGCTCTGCAGAACTCCAGAGTTTTTTGTTTTGTTTTGTTTTTAGAGTAGTAGTGACAATAGAGGTAATGATATCACTATTTTTTATTTCTGAAACGCTCGGTTACTGAGAACTTCCTACGTGCTCCTTACAGCAATCCCTCATTGCAGACATTCTTATTCCAGTTCTACGGGGGAGCTGGACAACTAGGAGACTGGAGTGGGAGGGAGGGCATCGGCCAAGTTATCCCTTTTGGTCTCTGTTTGTCCTCAGAGATGGGGCAGAGGAGTCACATCTAGGGTGCCCATCTCCAGGGTAAGTCGTCCAAGAGAGAAGGCAGTTCCTCCAGTGCCAAAGAGCAATAGGGGATGTGGTCTTTCCCCACTTCTGCTCAGTTTCTAAAATGATTTTGGTTTTGTTTATTGGTTAGATCAGTAGTCAGTGTTTGCAATATAATGTCAATGTAAATATTGTTAAGTCCTGAGCAAATAGCATCCAACTTTTGTGTTTCCTGGAGTTATTCATTGTTTTCCAGTTGCTCAGTTTTCTGTGTCACTGTCACTAATTACCTCTGTCTATCTATCTATCTATCTATCTATCTATCTATCTATCTATCTATCAACATTACCTTCATCCCCCAAATCCCATACTCGTTATCAGTCACTCCCCATTTCCCATCCTACCCCCAACCTTAGATAATCACTAATCTGATTTCTGTCTCTATGGATTTTCCTATTCTGGATGTTTAATAAAATGAAATTGCACCATATATGGCCTTTTGGGTCTGACTTCTTTCACTCAGTATGACATTTTCAAAGTTCATCCATGTGGTACATTATCAGAATTTCATTCCTTTTAATGACTAAATGATATTATTTTTTAATGGCTAAATATTCTACTGTAGATCACATTTTATTTATCCAGTCGTCTGTTGATCGACATTTGAGTTGTTTCTACTTTTAATAATTCTGCTATGAACATTCATGTACACATTTCTGTGTGGGCGTGTTTTAATTTTTCTTGGGTAGATATCTTGGAGTAGAATTGCTGAGTCATATAGTAACTATGTTTATCTGTTTGAGGAACTGTCAGACTTTTTTTTTTTTTTTTAAAGATTTTATTTATTTGAGAGAGAGAGAATGAGAGAGAGCACGAGAGGGAAGAGGGTCAGAGGGAGAAGCAGACTCCCCGCTGAGCAGGGAGCCAGATGCGGGACTCGATCCCGGGACTCCAGGACCATGACCTGAGCCGAAGGCAGTCGCTCAACCGACTGAGCCACCCAGGCGCCCTGTCAGACTGTTTTTAAAGCACATGCGCTGTTTCACGTTCCCACCCATAGTGCGGAGGGGTCTGACTTCTCCACAGCCTCACCACCACTTGTGATTCTCTCTCTTTGACCCTAGCCGTCCTAGTGGGTATGAAGTGGGGAGTACCTCACCGGGGTTTGAGTTGCATTTCCCCACTGGCTGATGACGTGGAGCATCTTCTCATGTGCTCATTGGCCATTTGTACATCTTCTCTGGAGAAATGTCTATGCAGATACCTTGCTCATTTTAAATTAGGTTGTTGGTCTTTTTATGGAGTTATAAGAGTTCTTGTTATATTTGGGTTATTTTGGGGTCTTACCAGATTTATGCCTGGCACATATTTTTTCCCGTTCTGTGGGTTGTCTTTTCCCTTTCTTGATGATGTTATTGGCAGCACAAAAGGTCTTAATTCTGGTGAAGTCCACCTTATGGATTGTTTCTTTTTCTGCTTGTGCTTCTGGTATCATATTTCAGAAGGGTATTTCCTACAGTCCTTTTCCAAGGCCACAAAGATTGACTAGCATATTTTCTTCTAAGAATTTTATAGTTTTAGCTCTTATTCTTAGATCTGTGACCCATTGTGACTAAGGTTTGTGCATGGTGTGAGGAAGGGCTCCAACTTCCTTCCTTGTGTGTGGCCATCCAGCTGTGTCAGCACTGCGTGTTGGAGATCGTTACTTCCCCCTCTCCATGGCCTTGGCTTCCTTGTGGGAAATCAGTGGACCATAAATATGAAGGCTTATTTCTGGACTGGCAACTGGATTCCAGTGATCTGTATGTGTATCCTGTGTTAGTGCCCCCGTCTTGATTACAGTAGTTTTGTAGTGAGTCTTGAAATGGGGAAGCATGAGTCTCCCAGCTTTGTTCTTCTCTTTCAAGATTGTTTTAAATGATCTGGGTCCCTTGCCTTTCTGTATGAATTTTAGGATCACTTTGTCTATTTCTGCCAAGAAGCCAGCTGTGATTTTAATGGGGACTGTGTGGAATCTGGATCAATTTGGAGAGCATTGTCATCGTAGCACTAGTCAAGTCTTCATTTTATAAACATGGGATGTCTTTCCATTCATTTAGGTCTTCTGCAGTTTCTTTCAAAAATATTGCCAAGTGTTTAGAGTACAAGTTTTGTACTTCTTTTGTTAAATTTATTCGTGAGTATTTAAAAATACTGATGATTGATGGGGGTGCCTGAGTGCCTCAGTCCGTTAAGCGTCTGCCTTCAGCTCAGGTCATGATCTCAGGGTCCTGGGATCGGGCCCCACATCAGACTCCGTGCTCAGCAGGGAATTTGTTTCTCCCTCTTCCCCTGCTTGGGCTCGTGCATGCTCTCTCTCTCTCAAATAAATAAATAAATAAATAAATAAATAAATAAATAAAATATTTAAAAAAATTCCTTTTGATGGTGTAAGTGGAGTTATTAATTTCATTTTTGATTGTCCATCATTAGTGAAATGAAAAACAAAACAATAGTTTTTATTTGTCTGTTGTACATTGACCTTGTATCTTGCTGCCTTGTTGAACTATTTTGTTAGTTGTGATAGTTTTTTAGTGGGTTCCTAGAATTTTCTATATGCAGGATCATGTCATCTGCAAATAGAGATCGTTTTACTCCTTCTTTTCCAAGGTTGATGCCTTTTATTACTTCTTCTTGCCTAATTGCTGTAATGGCTAGAAACTCCAGTACAATGCTGGGTAGAAGTGCTGAGAGTAGACATCCTTCTGTTGGCCTAATCTTAGAGGAAAAGCTGAAAATAAGTATGTTTCAGCTGTGGGTGTTTCTTAGATACCCTTTGTCAGGAAGTTTCCTTCTATTTCTAGATTGTTAAGTGTTTTTGTCATGAAAGGTGTTGGAAATAGTTTCTCTGCATCTATTGAAATGATGGATTTTCACCCTACTCTGTTGATATGGTGTATTACATAGATTTGTTTACCAGATATCAAACCAACCTTGCATTCCTGGGATAAATCTCATTAAGTCATGGCATATAATCCTCTTATCTGTTGCTGGATTCAGTTTGCTGCTATTTTGTTGAGGATACGTGCATTTATATTCTGTCACATTTTCCTCCCAAACATTTCAACATGTCTGTCCTATCAACTACCTCTCAAGAATTTGTTCTGCACAACTCTGCACAACAGGGAAATCATATACGTCTGTAAGTCCCATTCCCCTCCCCTCGAGGAACCCTCCTGCTGTTCTGATCTCTGTTCTAGATGGATTGCCTCGTGGCCTCTGCTCGGCTGTGACCCTGGGGCCTTCTTCACTCCTCTTCTGTTTGGATCCATGGTGTGTGCTCTGGTTGCTTATTGAGAAGGGGCAGGTGGTGGGTAAATATTTTCATGTTCGTCGATGTCTGAAATAATCTTTATTCTTTCCTTACACTTGATTGATGGATTGACTGGGTCAGAATTCTCCATCTAAAACTGTCTGTCAGAATTTTGAAGACTTGGCTCCAGGTCCTCTGGCCTCCAGGAATGCTGTGCCATTCTTCAGGACCCACCTGTTCCTCTGGTGTTCTGATGTTTCACCCCAGTGTGGCCTCTGTGCCGGCCTGTCCCTTCACAGGGCATGGTGGGCCCTTGTGGGCCCTCATGGGCCCTTTAATATGGAGATTTGTGATGTTTAATCTGAGAAACTGTCCTGGATTGCTGCTCTGATGTTCCTCTACTCCATTTCCTCTTTCTGGAACTCCTATAAGGTGGATGTTGGACCTTTAGGGCTGCCTTGTGATTCCCTTATTTTTTTCCTTTCCTGATTGCAATTTCTTCATCTTTTTTAGCCTCATATCTAGAAGATGGTCTTATCTGACCTTTCTGTTGCATTTTTCATTTTGATAATCATCTCTCATTTTGAGACCTCTTGATCTGGGATTGTTCCTTTTCCATGACCCCTTGTTTGATGGACCCAATCTTGTCATATCTCTGAAGTTCCTGGTGCGGGTTTTAAGGGGAAGTTTCTGCGGGCCGACTGGAAGCTTGGAGAGGGAGGACAGGAGGGCATCTTGCAGGGGGTGAAGGTGAGCCATCCTCTTGGGTGAGGGCTCCCGTGTCCACATCTGGAGCCTTCCACAGGCTACTTCATGTCTCCACAGTAGAGTCCCCGGGCGGCTGTAGAGGGGGGAATGGCAGTCCAACCCTCACCACCCCTGAGCCTGGAGCCTGTGAGAACCCACTTCTCCAGACCTCAGGGCTGTCCCTAGGCCAGGCTCTGGGCTGTGCTGGGTGGGGATGGAGAAGATCTGGGTTCACTGCTGTGAAGAGACCCTGGCCTGTCTTTCTGTTCACACACATACTCTTTCTCAGTCACACATGTGCACACGTACACACACATGCATGTACACGCACACTCACATTCACACGTGTGCACACACACTCACACCCACACACACCATGCACTCTGCCCACCAGGCCCCTGCAGAGGGAGCTGGGTTGCCATAAGCCAGGACTCTACGGTTTGGAGGGGACGGGGAGGGTGCAGACTGGTCTGACTTGTGCATTTTCACCTCCCCAAACCCGAGCTGGGGTGCTGGCCTTCACTCTGCGTCCTGCAGTATTGCTTGAGATCTCTGTGTGCTCTTGGCTCTCCACGGTTCTCTTAGATTCGTGGCTTACCCCTCGTCCCTCCCTTCTTCCTTCCTCTCCTTCTTACAGCTTTGCCGCTGTTTTATGGGGTTGAGGGAAGGAGAGACTTGAGTGGTGGGGGCGGGGGTTATCCACAGTGTAAACTGAGACCCCGGGTCCACTCTGTGCTCAGGGTTCTACAACAGGGAGGAGGTGCCATGGGCCACCGGGGGCCTGTGACCCCCAAGCCCTGGCTGACCCTGAGGCCTCTTTGCTCTGCCTTCCAGAACATGCCCAATGTCCGTGACCATGATGCCTCGGTCTACCTCCGCCTCCAAGGGGATGCCTTGTCTGTGGGCGGCTATGAGACCAACCCCATCTTCTGGGAGGAGGTGAGACACTGAGGGATCGAGGGGGTGGTTCGAGGCCACATCTCAGTGTGGAGAAGCCTTCTTCCAGAAAACCCACCCTCCCGAAGCTCCTCAGGTGTACCCCCGAAATGGCAAGTCCCTTGGCCCCAGAAGGGTCTCACTCATTTTTCTCTGAACCGGGCACACGGGTAGATCCAGAGCTGGGGCAGGGGGAGGGCTGGCCTCACAACATTAATAGAGGCTGCAGAATGTAAAATAATGGCTTTGGAAGACCAAAACACAAAAGCCCTGTGTCCGTAGCAAACAACCCTGCGGCCCCGCCCCCATGGCAGCGGCATCTCCCCCAGACCTGGCTGCTTCCCCAGCAGCTTCGTGGGCTGCCTGAGGTCCGGCAGCCGCCTCGGCCCCCGCAAGCATGCCCGGGCCACCCTCGCTCCTGGATTCGTGGAGAAATGGAATGACTGAGTGACAACTTTGGGTCAGATACTGTTTTACTTCCTGGGGGCAGGGAGAGACCAACATAAAAGTCTCTGTCCCGGGGTGCCTTTATTTAGGTGGGGAGACCCACAATAAACAAAGAAGTCATGGGGATCTGTGTGCTGAATGGAGCCGGCAGGTTAGGAAGAAGCCCGGTAAGAGTGGCGTGGAGGGATGTCCTTCACTCTGTGGTCAGGCAGGGCCCCCCCCGGGGAGCTGACGGCAGAGCAGAGTCCTGCAGAGTGAACAGGTGGGCGAGGAGCTGCCTCAGGTGGCGGTGAAGGCCCTGAGGTCAGGTCAAGCTCGTCCTTCTCAAAGAACTGAAGGAAGGTCGGCACGGCCATGGGTCAGTGGTGGACGTGGACAGGGTCTGCTCTTGTAGGGCTTGGTGGGCCACAGAGGGTCACGGGGAGCCACGGGGGGCTTGAGAGCAAGAGAGGGCCTGGTCTGACTTAGGACAATGGGTGGAAGGAGGCGGGGAGACCGGGTGACCAGGGAGAGGCCACCACAACCATCCAGCGCAGAGTAGGTGGGCCTGAACGAGCACAGGGAAGGGGAGTGGACAGGCCCCACTGAGGGGTTGGTGGAGGAGGCCTGACTCGGGGCGGATTGGCCGGGCTCAGCTCCTGCGGGGCCGCTGTCACAGGGCCGCGCCCCCGCCTGCCTCCCCAGGTGTCAGACAAGTTTGCCTTTGGCCTCTTCGACCTGGACTGGGATGTGTTCAGCCCGCACATCGAAGGTGCCATCAACCGCGTTCCTGTGCTGGAGAAGACAGGGGTCAAGTCCACGGTCTGCGGCCCTGGTGAGTGGGGAGGCTGGGAGCTGGGGTGGGCGTCCCAGGGTCCTTCCGGCGGAGAAGTGCATCTGGCCTGTGTCAGGCCTGCCGCCCCTGCTGCGTACAGGCGGGAGACACACCACCCCCATCGTGGCTCCAGCAGAACCACGCGTGCGGTACCCGCCCCCCTTCTTTCCCGGCGCGCACGGGGTCTTTTTCATCCTCAGTCAAGACAGAAAATGGGTAGGGCCAGCCTCGGCCCACATCAGGGCTGCAGAGAGAGGCCCCGAAAGATACAGTGTTGTCCAAAGGGGAAAGTTTGTGTCTGAGACTCTGAGTTCCCTGTGCCTCAGTGTCCTCATCTGTGAAATGGGTGACAGAGCACCTACTCAGCAGGCGTGGAGCAAGGGGCGGGGGGAAGCCACACGTTAGGTGCAGGGCATGGCTGGGCCAGCAAACTGCCGTGAGTCTCCCGAGGGGAAGGGGTCACCACTCAGAGAGCGAGAGGCAGGCCAGGACAGGAGAGGGGCAGGTTCTGATGATGGCCTGCAGGGGTCCAGCCCTCTCTCCCCCGTGCACTTGGCATTGACACGGCCACCAGCCGGGGCTGCTTTAATCTGTTCGGCTCTCAGGAAGCCCAGCTGTGGTGAGCAGGATGGAAGCGCCCTTGATCACTGGACTCAGGGACCCGGGCGTGGGCCGTGGGCCGAAGACTCACTGCCCCCCCATGCTTCCCCAGGCTTGTGAGGGGCTGGCAGTGAGAAGCACAGGCCTGAGACGATCCCAGGGGTGCGAGTCACCCAGGAGCATCCTCTGTTTAATTAGACCGGGGAGTCACTGCTCCCACGAAGCCCTATCTGGGGGCGAGGTGCCTGTGAGGACATCTTGTGTCTGGTTTCCTGCCTGGGAGGGAGGGTTCGTGGGGAAATCAGCCTCTCTCCTTGCCAGGGAGGACAAGCACGGTCAACAGCCTTTGGCTTCCAGAACAGAACTCGGAAGTCCCAGGCCCCCTTGACTCCGGGGAATCTGGGGGCGGGCAGAGCTCCCATTCTGGGTCCTGGAGGTCACCGCCAAGGTGGGGGCCCCTGTCTGTGCAGCCCAAACGTCCCGTCATCCTGCATCCTTGTGTTGCTCAGGCTTGAGTCATTTGTTAAACATTCAAGAGACTCTCATCCCCCGGTACTCTCTCCTCACTTGCCCTGTGAGGCTGTTCTGAGCTTCCCATCCACCCGCCTGCAGCCCGAGCCGGAAACATCCCCAGCTCTGCCCAAGTGCTCACGGCATGACCGCACGGGCCTGGGGACGCTCCCGTCCTGATGCTCACTGTCCTCTCTGAACTGCCTCCTCCACCCTCCCTCAGCCACCCCGAGTCTTTCTTTCTGACCTCTGGGGTGTCCCCCTCTCCAGCTGTTTGGAAGTTTCCCCCAGGCCCCGCAGATGGATGGCCTCAGAGGCCGCCCCCCTCCCAGGTCAGGCCTGCTCCTCCCCGCCGAGCAGGGAGCAAGTTGCACAGAGGTTAAGAACTCAGGCTCAGGGCCAGGCAGTCCTGAGCAGTGCTCCCGCTTCCAAGGTTCACTAGCCGGGGGACTGGGCTAGATGAGACCCCGTGTCACATGGTCTCATCTTTACCCCAGGGGACCACAGTGCCTGCCGGGAAGGGCTATTGGAGACCCTCACCACCCCCTCCTCCCACTCTGTCTTCTTACTTTGCTTATTTGTGTATTTACTGTGTATTTCGCTCCCCCGTCAGCTCCCTGAGGGGTGGGACTGGTCTCGTTCAGAGCCGAGCCTGGGGTGCATACACATGGGCTGCAAGTATTTGCAGATGGGCTAACTCACAGCCCTGGAAGTAAGTGCCATGATCCCAATTTTACAGATGAGGACACTAAGGCTCAGAGAGGTGAAGTGACTGGCCCAAGGTCACACAGCTAGGAAGGGGTAAAGCAGGGTTCAGACCCAGGATTGTGGCTGCAAAGCTCAGCTCTTTATAATGACGTCCGAGGGTCCCCTGCCATCCATGCCCTGGCCTCTGGGGGTGACCCGCCAGCAGCAGACAGAAGCAAAAGCCCCTGTCTCTCTCCCAAAGAACTTAGGATCATTCCTTCAGTCAGTGAACATTTATCAAGCACCTATTGTGTGCTGGGCCCTGTGCTAGGCCTTGAGACACGGTGGTGAGCGAAGCCCAGCCCCTGCCCTCACGGTTCTCCTGGTCCGGTGGGCAAGGATGACCCGCAGGGACGCAGCACGATGGTGGCGCAGTGAGGGAGAGCTTCTCACTGTGATGGGGGCGTGGGGAAAGGCCCCTCACCAGCAGGAGAATGGTGATAGTCGTGAGGCAAACCTGGACCCTGCAAAGCAGACCCCGCTCCCAGCTGGGTGTTTCTGGCCATAAATGCTGAGGAGCTGAGAAATGTGGTGGGAGCAGTTAGGGAGGCTCCCTGGGAGATGTGGCACTGAGCTGAGTCGTGAGGATGGGGAAGGTCTGGATGAAGGAGGCACCTGCAGACCCTGCTCCAATCATCGCACTCTCGGGAGACACTGCCCTGGGTGCATGTGGCCTGGAGGGAGCTTCAGGCCCCCCTTCCTTCCAGAGTCCTTCACGCCTGACCACAAGCCCCTGATGGGGGAGGCGCCTGAACTCCGAGGATTCTACCTGGGCTGTGGTTTCAACAGTGCAGGTGAGTGCGAGGGCTGCCACCTTGCACCTCCGCCCCCCCAGAGCTCCCCCAGGCACAGTGGGGGTGGCTCCTGGTGGGGGGCGGAGCGGAGGAGGCCTGCAGGGAGGGGTGAGGTCCTGTTAGCAGGCATGCAGAACCCCAGGTGTGAGATCCAGGGCTTGGGGGGTGATGCCGGCTGTGGACACGGGGTGGGGGCTCTGGGGCAGACGGCAGACCTCTGCTCCACTCTTGCCAGGGATGATGCTGGGTGGCGGCTGTGGGCAGGAGCTGGCCCACTGGATTGTGCAAGGGCGCCCGGAGAAGGACATGTACAGCTATGACATCAGGTGAGTGTGCGCTGGGTCCTGTGCCCGGGGATTCGGTGGCGTGGGGGACACGGCAAGGGCTGTTTGGAAAGGAGCCTTCCCTGGAATCCAGAGGGCTTCTTGGAAGAGGTGCCGGCAGGGGCGGTGCTGCAGGGGCCTGGGTTTGGCAGATCCACGGCCCTTGACAGCTTCCAGGGTTTCTTGTGCCAGCGTCCTGCTTGACCCTCTGGATAGCTCCAGGATCAGCAGCGGGATCACATCATCCCACTTTGCAGATGGGGAGCCTGCAGCCTGGGGAGCAGGAGGGACCGCACACGTTGCCCAGGGAGTGAGGCCGAGTTGGTTATTGTTAGTACGGGGGTGGAGGCTGGGTGTCAGGCAGCCCTGAGCGATGATGCCATCATTCACTTCCGGGGTGACCGGAATGAGTCGGACCCAATGCCGAGCCATTTCCTCACTGTGACCCCTGGGTCATGACGCTGTGTGCTGCCAATGTTGGGAGCAGCAAATGTGTCTGGGTCGGTAAAATGCTCTGGAGCCCGTCTGCAAGAAGCGCACACAGACCTGAGCCGAGGTGGAGGGGAGCTGACGTCAGAGCTGGGGTGGGGGGTGTCCTGGTCTCCACCACCCTCTGCCGGCGGGGCTGGGGTCCGCAGGCAACAGCTTGGAGGGGCACCCCTGTGGGTGTCCGGCCTGCTCCCCTGTTACTGCTCCCAGCAGACAGCCTCCCTGGGGGGACCCCAGCGGCCCAGTAGGGACTGGTTCAGCTTGTGCCCCCCTCCTCTGCTAACCTTGCCCCTTCCTGGCCTGATAAGGACATTATACCCACTGAGGGGGGGATGTCTGGCCCCAACAGAGGCAGGCAGACAGACAGACAAGACACTGAGATTCCCCGACTGCCACCCCCTCCATGGCGCCTGGCACAACAGTCTCCTCTGTGGCTGCCTCAGAGCCCGTCTGGGGCTGCGCCCACGCGCTCCCAAGAGAGGAATGTTCCAGAAATGATAGCTGCAAGGGGCCTCGGGGATGGGCCAGTCCAAGCCCCTCCTGCTATAGACAGTGAGAGGAGGCGCCGGTGGGGGAAGCCGCCTGTCTGCAGTCACTCAGGGCGTGAGCCGGAGCGAGCAGGGACAGACCTTCTGGCCTCCCTGGTGGGCGAGGGCTTCAGCCCTGGAACAGACCCACCCCCCAGGGCTCACCCTGGGCCTCAGGGGGTAGCTTCCCGGTGCCGCAGTGTCCACGGCTGCAGGACGAGGCTGGCCTGCCTACACCCCTCCTGGGCTGAGGGAGACCCTGCAGGGAGGGAACGCACAGTCCTGGATTCAGCAGGCAGCTTAGGTCTGGGCTGGCGGAGGCCCCAACCCAGTTGGGAAGCGGTCTGGGCCTCCCTCTGTCGGTTGCCTTCCCCGGCAGGAGCATCTTGTGGGCTGGTTTATGGCTCGTGGGCTGGGGGTCACAGGTTAGGAGGCAGAGGGTACGGGGAGGGAGCCCCTAAGAGCTGGGGCCTGGTGGGTAGAGGTGGGGGCAGTGGACTAGTTCACTAGTCCACCCTCGTGGGGGTGGGGGGTGTCCTCCCACCACCCTCGTGGCTCAGGCAGATGGTTTTCCCATCTGTGAAATGGGAGCAGTGAGCCACCACCTCTCAGGGGAGTGCGTCTGAAGCTCGTACATGCTTCACCCAGTGCCTAGCCTGGGCAGGGTCTGGAGTGCAGGCTGTGATTTTTAGTGGAAGTCCTCGGGGTCCGAGTAAGTGGGGAGGAGGAGTCATTCCTTCTTTGAGTGAGGAGGGTGGCTCAACCCTAGCCCTGGCTTTGGCCCTGGCCGCAGGCCCCCTGCCTGCCTGCTCGTGGGAGGAGCGCTGCAGCTGGGTCTGCCCGGCCACAGGCAGGGGTCCGTCCCCATGCTGATCCCCGGCCATGCTCTGGCTGAGCCTGAGCCCACGGGCCCGCCATGTGCACACGGGCACAGATCTGAGCAGAGGGGCTGGTGGTTCTGGCCAGTGGGGCACCTGCTGGAGGAGCCGTGTCTGTCGGTGTCGGGATCACCCGGGCCTGCCCTGGGTCCAGCTTCCTCTTCTGTCCCGGGGGGCCTGAGGAAGGAAATCCAGCTCTCCCCAAATCCCCAGCCGCCCGACCCTGGTCCCCACCAGGACTCACACTCTCAAAGCCGCTAGGAAGGTCCCATCTCCCATCCCAGGAGAATCATGTCAGCTCCTAGTGACTGGGGGGGGCGGGGGGGAGTCTGACCGGAGGGGCCATCAGCCGAGGACAGACCTCCTAGCCTCCTTCCTCCCCACCTCAACCCCCCCAAAGCTTGCCGTGCATTTCCGAACTCCACACCCCAGCCCACTGCTTCTCCTCCAGGAACCCTCCCCAGACCCCTTGGCCCGGCTCCATGGCTGCTTCTCTTGCAGCATGTCCCAGAAGCTCCTGGCTCCGTGTGGCCCAGCAAAGGGCAGGCTGGGTTTCCTCTCGTGTGAAACAAGTCAAACCAGGGGTGGCAGGGGGTGAACAGCGAGGGGCGCTCAGGCCCGGGCCTGCACTGGAAAGGAGCTCCGGAGAGCCTCGATATTACTAGTGATAATATCTGCAGTAATAAGCTCACTCCTATAGCTCCAACCCTGCCCCAGTCAGGCCGTCGTGCTTGCTAGAACTATGTGCAAAATAAGAGTCAGTTAGCCCCGATGAGGCTCGGACAGCAATCACTGAGGATGAAACAGAGATGAGGACATAGCTGGTGAGGAGGTGGGCCTGGAGGAGGCGTGAGGAGCCAGCAGGTGGACAGTGAGGAAGGGGACAGCTGGTCCAAGCTGGGGCTCTGAGAGTGGGTTTGTGTGTGGGAGGGGCTGGGGGCCCGACACAGGTGGGCCAGCAGCCATGCAGTCGGCTCGGGTGGCCGTGGCTGTCCGCGGAGACCAGATGGACAAGCTGCTGGGAGGCTGCGGCCGCTGTATGCACAGGAAGGCTGGAGGGGAGGGCTGTGTGTGGTGGGCGGGGGTCGCAGTGAGGAGGCTGAGCTGCCCAAGGTCCCATGGTGCGAGAGTAGAACAGGACCCCCTCCTGAACCCACGCCTCAGGGAGGACTCTGGTGGAGGGATGAGGGTCCAGTTTTGCCCTGGGTCCTTGGCCAGCCCTCCCTTAACAGGCCCCCAAGGCAGTGACTGGCCCCTCCATCTGCAACAGGCGCTTCCATCCCTTGCTCACGGACCACCGCCACTGGATTCGTGAGCGCAGCCACGAGTCCTATGCCAAGAACTACTCGGTTGTCTTCCCCCACGACGAGCCCCTGGCAGGGCGCAACATGAGGACCGACCCCCTGCATGAGGTACCACACCCTGACAAGTGCGGTGACTCTCAGGACGCCCAGGGTACTGGGGTGACAGAAGGGCGTGCGGCGCCGCACTCCTGGGCAGGCGAGGCGATGAGGGGGCTCAGTCATACCCAGGGTCTTCCTAATAGAACGTGCTCAGAATCCTCCCTGACTGCTGGTGGCAGGGCTCCTGAGTGGCAGGTGCGTCAGCAGAGGTGAGCATCAGCGGGTGCGCACCAGCAGGTCGCACATCATAGGAGGGCATAGCCACAGAGCAGCATGCTGAGGAGACGTGCTCCTGCTGGGGGAGCCTGCTTCGGCTGCCTTTCCTCCCTGGCCAGCTTCTACCTGTACGATGAAACCCACCGTCAGATGCCCTTCCCGGGGCCTGGCCCTGAGCACTCTCGCAGGCCCCCCACAACCCGGGCACCTGCCCTGTGCCCCTAGCCTGTGCTTGCTTTGCTTCTCTAGGGCCCTGGGCACAGATGCTGTGCCCTCGTGTCTCTGGTTCCTGAGCACTGAGCCCAGAGCCTGACTCTTAAAACGTGTTCAGGGAACGTTTGTTGAATGGGTGGATGAAGGGGGAGGCAGGAGGGCAGGCTCATGGAGCAGGCAGCATTGAAGCTGAATAAAGGAACCTCCTTCATCTGGGACTCCAGTGCCTGGACCCCAGAGGGACCCAGTGTCCCCTGCACCTCCTGGGGAGAGGCCCAAAGATGTCAGTGAGGCCCAGGCTGCCCTGCCTCTTAGCTCAGCTTAGGGGGCCAGCGAGGGTCTCGGGCCCCACGAGGCCTCCTGCTCTCCCCAGCCTGCCCGGGTCTTTATTCACCCTGCACGGATCCTGATGGCTCCGCGGCCTCCCCGGCAAACACAGGGCTTGCTTGGCTGGCCGTGGAAGGAGAGGGGCTCAGGAGGACCACTCAGAAGTGCACAGCTTTACCCAAAGGGCACGCGGCAGGTGCGGGAGCACCCCCTGCCCAGAGAGAAATCTGAATTCACCCACGCTTCCACTTTCCCACATCATCAGCCCTGCTCATTGATGCCTCCCGACCATGGATTGTTTTATTAGAGGAGCCTACGCCCCGCTATTTTCCCTCCTAAGGAAGGTGGCTTCTCCCCAGGTCCACTCGCCTCCATCACTCACTGCGGGGTGATCTTTTGTGTCCTCAGTTGCTGCCCCCTTGGATGTCCAAGGAGGACATTTCTGGGGCATCACCATTTGGCAGTGTGACCTTGGCCCCTTCTCTGCCTGCTCAGGGTCTGGGTGGTCCACAGGAGGCAACAGGGGCAGCCTGTCCACAGCCTCGGGCTTGCCCGTGGACACAGGGCCCTTCCAAACATGAGAGTGGAGATTATCTTTTTTTCCCCAAACCAAATTTATTTTCAAAGAAATCTGCCACTCTGGGACTTTATTGCGTCCATGTGATATTGTGACTTAGAATAAGAAATAGGTATAGTCTTTGTCCAGTTCCCTGTCCGGCATGAAGTTCTGAACCCTTGGAACTTCCTCAGTGATGAGAGCCATAAAGGTGCCTTTTGTTATGTTAATGGCATGACTTTGGGCCCAACCTAAGGATGGAGGTTGCATGCCAGGGAACCCAGCTGGATGCTGCATGATTAGGGGACAGGAACTTTCAGTCCCACCCCTGGCCTCTGGGGAGGGAGAGGGGCTGCAGGCTGATTCAATCAGTCGTGCCTGTGTACTGAAGCCTTCCTAAAAACCCCAAAGGAGAGGTGCAGAGAGCTTCCAGGCTGGGGAGTGCGTGGAGATTTGGGCAGAGTGGCGCTTGGAGGGGCCCGGAAGCCCCCTGCCCTTCCCCACACCTGGCCCGACGCCCCTCTTGCATCTGAGCTCTAACCTGCTGCAGACCCCTGGCGATCCAGTGGGTAAAACCACTCTCGAAGTCTTGTGAGCTGCTCTAGCAAATCAGGACAGCCCGAGGAGGGGTCCTGACCCACAGCTGGTCGGTCAGGAGAGCCAGTAACAGCCCGGAGTGGGAGGTGGGGGCGGCCCCGTGGGACCAGGCCCCCAACCCAGGGACTCTGATACCGTCCTGGGGTAGACAGTGTCAGAATGGAGCCGGATTCTTGGACACGGTCTTGGTGTCTGAGAATTGCTTGGTGTTGTGGGGGCGGTCCCCGCACACGGGCACGTGTGAATTGGGCCCAGGAAACCAATATAGTCTGTTACATTTTTGTCTTGTGGCAAAGTACCCATAACATAAAATTTGCCATTTTAACCATGTTAAAGCACACAATTCAGCGAGATTTAAGGACATTCAGGATGCTGTGTGACCATCACCACCACCTAAAGGAGACCCCGCACCCATGATGCAGGGCTTCCCCATTCTCCCCAACGCCCGCCCTGCCTAGAAAAACCACCCATGGGTTTTTCTGTCTGTGTGGATTTGCCTGTTCTGGACATTTCATGTGAGTGGAGCCATGCAACACGTGACCTTCCTTCCCTCAGCCTGTTGTGTTTGAGGCTGGCCCGTGGTGCATTCCGTGTCAGAACTCCATTGCTCTTGACAGCCGGACCCTGCTCCACCATGCGGGTTCACCACACTTGGTTACCCGACCCATTGTCAGCCAGTGGACACTTGGGTGGTTTCCACCTGCCAGCTGCTGTGAATATGGGTGTGCAGAGACCCATTGTGTCCCTATTGTCGCTTCTCTTGGGGAATGAGGGGGACCTCGGAAGGAGATTGCTGGTCTGTCCCAGCAGCGGACAGCGCAGCACAGTGGGGGGGCAGGGAGGCTGAGACTGTAGAAATTCCTTTCTCCCAGTTCTGGAGACTGGGAGGCCCAGAGCCAGGTGCCCGCTGCCTGGCTCCAGGTGAGGGCCCTCTGCCTAGCTGCTGGAGGGCTGCCGTCTTGTGTCTGCAAGCCCTCCCGGGATCAGGGCCCCACCCCATGACCTCACTCCACCCTAACCCCCGCTTCATGGGCCCCATCTCCAAATGCGGTCCCACTGGGGGTTAGGGCTTCAACATAGGAATTTGGGGGTTGCAATTCTGTCCCTAGCAGAAGGTATCTCAGTAGGTTGGGGACTCTTGGAGTGGGGCAGGGGGAGCTGTGGGCGGGGCTCTCAGCACGAGGACCTCTTTGCCCTCTGCTCCCTGGGGGGGGGGGTCACTCATTGCCCTGCATGGGGGTAGTCTGGCCCGGCCTGAAGGGTGCTTGTTCCCCACCCCTACCCAGGAGCTACTTGCACAAGGCTGTGTGTTCCAGGAGCGACAGGGCTGGGAGCGGCCCGGATGGTTTACTCCCCAAGGCACAGCTCCGGTGAGTAGGCACCTGGGCCTGGCCCCCCTCCGTGCCCGTCCCCCACCCCACCCGCCCCTGCTGCCCAAGGTGGGGCCTGTGGGACGGTGAATCATCTTGTGTGCAGGAAGGCTGAGGCCCCTGCAGATCTGCCCGTGAGCACGGAACCCCTCCCCTGCAGATGTCCCCGGGGCTGTCAATCACCGCCTCAGCAGCCAGGCCTTCCAGGGCTCGGAGAAGCCCCAGGGTCCCTGGGAAAGCTGGTGTTCCACAGTGCGGAGGCCGCGCACAAGACCCCCCCCCCACCCCGCCCGTGTGTAGGAGAAATTAGTGCATCTTCTCATAATTTTGTTCATATATTTTTGGCAACTGCAACTGTTATTTTATGTTAGTAGGAGGATTTAGCACCAAATTAGGCATTCCATGTGAGTTTGTAAGTTGGGATTTCACAGCCTCCTGGCCTCTGGGTGCCCTCCTGGGGGCTCCCCAACCCCCCCCCAGTGCTTCCCATGGGCCTGGGGTTGTCAGAAAAGAACCCAAACCATCCTGCTTGTGAAACTCGGGGGCTGGGGTCTGCTGGAGCAGGCACTGTGATGCTTTCAGCCCAATCAGGGGGATAGTATTTGATCCAGATTTGTGCAAATTGAAATCCCTCTCCGCTGCTGTGTTTTACCAGTCCCCTTCCTGTGCATCCACCTCCCATCTCCATAGCAACCCTCGGCTCAAGGCCAGTCCTAGGGCATCCTGGGGCAAGCGAGGCAGAAGTCAGAGCTCACTAATGCCCAGAGGTCCGTGTTCTCAGGCTCCTTCGTCCTGGCCCCTTCTCCAATCGGCCTATAGAGACCCTTGCACTCCACCCAGGAGCACGGAGCTCCCCTTGAGGTCCTAATCAGTGGAAGTACAGACAAACTCATGAGGATGGAGGAGGCAGGCTCTCTAAGACACTAGGGGCAGCAGCCTGTGCCTAGGAGGCTGAGAGGCTGGGGCCACCAGGACAGGATGGGCCTTGAGCAGAGCCCTCTGCATCACAGCTGGCTTGTCCCTGGAAGCCCCTGTGCCCTGGAATCCTTGGGAGAGCAGAAGACACTGGAGCAGAGATTGGGAACATTCCCTTGGGCTGGAGATGCGCAGGCTCTGCACCCTCTCACCTGGGAGCCATCCTGGGTGTCTAGGGCACGGGATGATAAGACATCCCCCAAATCCCAGATGGCCAGCCAGGCTGCAGCGAGCTGGAATGTCCCTTCTGGGGTCTCAGGGGCCAGTGAGAGCCGCGCCTGCAGGGCAGGGGGAAGACTATCTGCAGAGGCCCCTCCCAGATGCCAGGGCTTGAGGGGCTTGGGGCAGCAGAGTGGCCCAGTGCAGTCAGAACCTCACACTCGGCCCTTGCCTGGGAAAGAGGCTGGGCAGGGCTGGCCGGGCTGCAAGGTGACAGTTGACTGGCTCCCTCAGAAGCAGCAGAGGTGGGGAAGGGCCTCTTGGCTTGTGGGCCTCTCCGCACTGCTGACAGGTGCAGGACAGGCCAAGGCAAATGGCAGGGGAGGAACCAGTCTCTGGGGCCCACCCGCCACCAGGTCTATGCCAGGCCTGTCAGGTCCTTGCCTGTGACCTAGGGCAAGCTTTAACCTCTCTACCTCAGTTTCCCGTCTGTAGAAAGGATCTCCCTCCCTAGAAGCTTGAGGCCCTCGAGCAGGGCATGGTCCTGATTGCCTGGCAATGGCATTGGGCCCCCAGCCCCGTCACCCTGGTCCTCAGTGGGCTGGTGCCGGGGTCTTATCCTGCTGCCTTAGCCTTGCCTCAAAAGCCCTGATGGTGGCCCTGATGTCCCTGGTGACCCCCCCTTGCCTCCCCATCGGCCCCATCTCTCCCTTCCCTGAGTCCACCCAACTTCTTCTCCATCCTCCTGGGCCCCAACCAGCACAGGCCAGACTCTCTCCTGGCACCGGCTCTCAGACGCACCGCCACCACGGCCATTACGGTGTCATCTGTGCAAGGGGTTATGGACGGCCTGAGCCCCGTCCCTCCCCTGCCCCTGCATGCACAACACACCCCTCCAGAGGGCAGCTCGGTGAGGCTGGACCAGATCGTCTGCTCCATCTCTGCCTCTGCGGGACCCAGCTCCTTGCCTGCCAAGCCGCACGTGTGTGTGTGCGCGCGCATGTGTGCACGTGGGGAGGGACAGAGGGAAGGGAGGACCGTGACGAGCATGTCTTCTCCCAGGTTCTGCAGTACGACTACTACGGGGCCTATGGAAACCAGGCACACGGAGACCATGCCTATGGCCGCCTGCTTGCGGACGAGTACACGTTCGACTTCCCACCGCACCATGACGTGGTCAGTGCCGAGTCCCCTTCCCCCATCCCTGGTGGAGCCAGAGGCTCTTCGGGCTCCATCCTGTCCGCCCCCGTGCTTGACTGACTCCGTTTTGAGGAGGAATCTGTGATGTTTTCCCGCCCTCCTCTGTACCAGGGCTTGGCCAGCGGTTAGGCCTGAGGGCAGTATTACTGCTCCCTGTGGCTGGGTGGGCTGGGGCTGGCTCTGTGGCCCCAGGCCAGGGGCTGCCCCTCTCTGAGCCTCCATCCCTCCTGCCCTGGAGCTGTTCTGAGGCGAGCTTGCGTGAGACTCTGTGAGTGACTAGCTCCTTCCTCCAGGCCCAGTGTGGTGGGCTTTTACCTGTGGCTCTCACAGAGCAGATCTGGGACACAGAGATCCCAGACTGGCCCCTCCAGGGCATAAGCAGAGGGTCTGCGGTCTGAGGTTTGCTTGTGGCCGCTCTGGCTCCGGAAGTGGGCAGGTGAGGCTGGTCAGACGGCAACCCCAGCCACTCATTGCCCCGGCCCGAGTGCCTGGCTCCCGACTCCTGCCAGGGTGGGGGTGACAGTGGGGCCTGGCCACCCACTGCAGTCTGCACCACGCAGAGCTGTTCTCATGGGCAGTATCTACAGAAAACAACACCAGCTTCCACGCGGGGCGGCCCAGCCATTTGGTAAAGGGATCACACAGTAGAACATGTCCCGGCCTGTGTCCTCGTGGCTGCCCCAGGAGAGGGAATGCGGCCTTAGCCGCCCCCCTGATGTGGGCGTGAAGTTAAGGCCTTCACCTGTGGGTGCCCGGCCCAGGGCAGCCTGGGAAGCAGTCGCGAGGAGGAAGGCAGCCAGCCAGCTTCCTGGGTGTGTGGCCTCTGAGGTCACCTGGGGCCCTGGCTCAGAAGGGCCCTGCGCTGGGATTAACACTGCTGTCGCCACCTCGAAACTCTTCATACTTTTGGAACCAGGGTCCGCGGTTCCATTTTGCACTGGGCCTCACAAATGCTGCAGGTGGTCCCGTGATCTCCCCCAAGCTTGCTCTCCTGGTGAAGGCACCGGAGAAGGGGCTTGGGAAATGGAAGCAGACGGCGCATGCGTCCAGAAGCTCCTGGAGTCCCTGGCGCTGCCTCTTGGGGCGTGAAGGGGGCTCCGTCTGGCACTTCAGCACCCGCACCGCCTAGGGCCGGCAGGACGTCTGGCCCTCGGGGACGTGGGAGCTCAGAGGGGATGCCAACTTGGCTTGGTGGCTTCATCCAGCCTCCACAAACACGTCTGAACAGTCCCGAAGCATGAAACACGCACTTGTTCTCGGCGTTGGCAACCTCCCCAGCCCGGGGAGACGAGAGTCAGCCTGGAGACTGTTTTGGGGTTTGCTCTGCAGCCCCAGCAGCGTCAGCGAGGGTCCCGCAGCGCCTGACGGGTCGCAGGAGCTCCACAGAGGGGAGTGGTGTCCGCAGAGGGCTGGAGGCGCAGCATCGGGGGCTCGGTAGGGTGCCAGCCCTCCCGGGGAAGCCCGATCGGGGCCTTGGCCGGTTTCCCTGGTGTAAATACACTCTCCACTCACTCTGATACACCCACGCGGCGCCGCTGGATGTGGAGCTGGGCGAGACGCGCACCGCTAGACAGACCTGGCCCCGGGCACGTCTGTGGTCTTCCCACTGGGGAGCCCCCGTCCCCCCGCCGCCAACCTTGTCCCCTCCCCAGATCTTGGAGGGCACTTAGCATGCGCTGAGGTGGCTTGCGGCAGTTTCCTTGTCAGGGATGGTGGACGGACCGCAGGGTGGGAGGAGGTGACACAGGTCCCTGACCCACAGTGAGTGCTTGGCGGGGGGTCGCTTTGCTGCTATCGTTTTCTCTTCTGCCATAACAATAAAGTTGGCACCTCTGCTTGGCAGCTGGGTGATGTGTTCAGAGCAAAGAAGCAGGAGTGAGGTGATGGAACACCAAGGAGAAAAACACACGGATAACACGGGGCTTGGGGGACCTGGCTGGGGCATCTGCAGACCACCAGCAGGGCTGTTGGGCTCTCTTTTTAAAAAAAACAGAACAGCTTTATTGAGATACCATACCACATACCATACAGCCCATCCCTTTCAAGTATACAATCCCGTGTTTGTTAGTGGACTCCTGGGCAGAGCACTGTCCCCACCATCGGGTGTTAGAACACTTTTGCCTACCTGCAGAAGAAATCCCGGCCCGCTAGCCATCACCCCCTGCCCCCTACTCTCTCCCCACCGTGTCCCCACCCACAGGCGGCCACTGAGCTACTTCTGTCCCTACAGATTCACCTCGCTGGGACATTTCAGAGCAGGGGACTCATACAGTGCGCTGTCTTTCGTGACTGGCTTCTTCCACCCAGCACAGTATTTTCAAGGTCCATCCACATTCTAGGGCGTATCTGTGCGTCACGACTCCATATTCTGAGAGTGTTCCATTACACGGATATACTGCAGTGTGTCTGGTCATCTGTGGACGGACACTTGAGCTGTGTCCACGTTTCAGCTTCTGTAAATAGTGTCGCTACGATTGTGTGTGGACTGGGGTCTGTGTGCACCTAGGTTTTCATTTCTCATGGGTAGATACTAGCAGTGTTGGTGTACTAAGGTTTGTATATGGTGTGAGGAAGGGCTCCAACTTCCTTCCTTGCGTGTGGCCGTCCAGCTTTGTCAGTACCATGTTTTGAAGATTGTTGCTTCCCCCCACCTTGCCATGGCCTTGGCATTCTTGCGGGAAATCAGTGGACCATAAACATGAAGGCTTATTTCTGGACTGTCAACCGGATTCCAGTGATCTGTATGTGTATCCTGTGTTAGTGCCCCCCATCTTGATTACAGTAGTTCTGTAGTGAATCTTTAAGTTGGGAAGCGTGAGTTTCCCAGCTTTGTTCTTTTTTCTCAAAATTGTTTTAAGTGTTCTGCGTCCCTTGCATTTCTGTATGCATTTTAGAATCGGTTTGTCAATTTCTGCCAAGAAGCCAGCTGCAGTTTTAATGGGGATTGTGTGGAATCTGGATCAATTTGGAGAGCATTGCCATCTTAGCACTAGTCAAGTCTTCATTATGTAAACATGGGATGTCTTTCCATTCATTTAGGTCTTCTGCTGTTTCTTTCAAAAAATATTTGCCAAGTGTTTAGAGTACAAGTTTTGCACTTCTTTTGTTAAATTTATTCTTGAGTATCTATACATTCTTTTTGATGATGTTAAGTGGAATCATTTTCTTAATTTCATTTTTGATTGTCCACCGTCAGTGAAATGAAAAACAAAACAATAGTTTTTATTTGTCTGTTGTACATTGACCTTGTATCCTGCTGTCTTGTTGAACTATTTTGTTTGTTGTAATAGTTTTTTAGTGGGTTCCTAGGATTTTCTATATGCAGGATCATGTCATCTGCAAATAGAGATCATTTTATTCTTCTTTTCCAAGCTTTGTGCCATTTATTACTTTTTCTTGCCTAATTGCTGCCCTGGTTAGAACCTCCAGGACGATGCTGAGTAGCAGAGCAAACAGCTGTCTTGTTTCTGATCTTAGGAGGTACATTTTCAGTCTCCCTGCTATAGTAAAACGTCAGCTGTGGAATTTTTGCACATGCTTTTAATCTGGTCTAGGAAGTTCCTTCCCATTCCTAGTTTGTTGAATATTTTTGTGATGAAAGGTGTTGGATTCTATCAAATACTTTCTCGGCATTTATAGGGATGATCACATTGTTTCTGTTTTGGGTTCTATTAGTATGGTGCCTTCCATCAGTTGATCCGGGGATGCCCAACCAACCTCCCATTCCCAGGAGAAATCCCTCTTGATCATGGTGTGTATTCCTTTTTACATGTTGTTGGATTTGGTTCGCTAGTATTTTGCTGAGGGCATTTGTATCTATTTTCATGAGGGATAGTGGCCTCCTTTTCTTGGGAGTCTTTGGTGGTCTTTGTCTGATTTTGGCAGTAGGGTGATGCTGGCCTCATGGAACAAGTATTTCCTACTCTTCTATTCTTTTGAGTTTTGCAAGGACTCGGTGTTAATTCCTCTTCTAATGTTTGATAGGATTCACCAGTGAAGCCTTCTGGGTCAGGGATTTTCTTTATAGGGAGTTTGAAATTACTAACCCAATCTCTTTTTGTTATGGATCTATTCAGATTTTCTATTTCTTCTTTAGCTTTAGTTACTTGTGTCTTTCTAGGAATTTGTCCATTTCCTGTCTCACGTGTTGTCGGATGGGTACGTGTGGTATCCCCTTAGAATCCTTTTATTTCTGTAGGGTGGGGGATGTTCCCTCTTTCGGTCCCGACTTAGAACTTTTGAGTCCTCTCTCTCATTTTCTTTGTGAGTCTAACTGAAGGTCTGTCAATTTTGTTGATCCTTTCAAAGAACCAACTTTCCTTTGCTGGTTGTCTCAACTTTTCTATTCCCTATTTCATTTATCTCCATTCTAGTCCTTATCATGTCTTTCCTTCTGCTTGTTCTGGTTTAATTCACTCTTTTTCCAGTTTTCTCCAAGGGGGAAGCTGAGGCATCGATCTGAGAACTTCTTCTGCATGGAGGCATTTGCAGGCGTGAGGTCGCTGGGAGCATGGCCCTGACTTCGTTGCCTCCATTTCCATGTACCACATTTCCACAGACATCCTTCTCCAAGAATTTTCCAATTCCCCTGTGAATGTTTGCTTTGATCCTTTGGTTATTCAGGAGTGTGCAGGTTAATGTCACTTACATGTGAACTCTCTAATTTTCCTCCTACGTTTGACTCCTAATGAAATTCCATTATGGTCCAAGAACAGGCTGTGTGTGTTCTTAATCCTTTTGAATGTACTGCCTTTTTTATGGTGTATGAGCTGCCCTGGAGGGCGTTCCCTATGCTTGAGAAGAATGGGCACGGTGTGCTCCAGCTGGGAGGGGGAAGGGGGCCTCAGAGCAGGTGTGCGGCAAAGAGCCCAGCACCCCATGCTCCAGAGGAGGCACATCTCAGAGCCTTCATGGCATCCCTCCTCCCTGGAACTTTTCAGATCAAGAAGGAGTGTCTGGCCTGCAGAGGGGCCGCTGCTGTGTTCAACATGTCCTACTTCGGGAAGTTCTACCTGGTGGGCTTGGATGCGAGGAAGGCTGCCGACTGGCTCTTCTCTGCTGATGTCAGCCGACCCCCTGGTACGACCTCCAGAGGACCATGCTCCTTTTCCACTCCAGTGCCAGGAAGAACTCCATGGGCACAGCCCTGGGTACCTACCCTGGCAAGCTGACTCCGTCCACTCTGGGCTCCTCTAGCTCATGGCTCTGCCCCTGAGGCTGGCCCCATGCCCCTGCATCTAGACCTTTCTGCCCCCATTGCCAAGTCCCAGCCCTTAGGACCCCAGCACCTTCCTCCATCCCTCCTCCTGCCCTTCCTTCCCCTTCTCCCTCCCTCCTTCTCCTTTACGTTCTTCCAGGAAGGATACAAGGCAGCAGACCTTCGGTAAATGTCTCCTGAGACTGTGGAGCCCATATAGTTACCCCCATAGGAATGCTCTCCCCAAACAGAGTTTCCAGGATTAAATGAAAATACAGCACGCTCAGATAAATTTGAGTCTCAAGTGAAGAAGGAACAATTTGTACGTAGGTGTGTCCCATGTAATATTTGGGATATTCATCTCCTTTTTTATTACCCACCCTCCACCCACCTGTCCATCCACCTAAAAAAACTCACCCATCCCCATCTGTGTCAGTGCCCTGGGGCTGCTGTAACAAAGCACCACAAACTGGGTGGCTTTAAACGATCGAAACATATTGTTTCACAATTCCAGAGGCTGGAAGTTCATAATCAAGGAGGCAGCAGGGCTGTGCTCTCTCTGAGACCACGGGTAGCACACTCAGCAGCCTCTCGGCTCCTGGTGGGGCCGACGGTCCTCAGGGCTCCTTGGCCCTGATGTCACACAGGCTTCTTTCTCCCCGCGTCGTCGTCTTCTCCTAAGGACACCAGGCATACTGGGTTAGGGCCCACCATAATGACCATCTTAATGTGATTACATCTGCAAAGCCCTATTTCCAAATAAGGTCACATTCATGGGGTTGGGACGTCAACCTATCATTTTGGGGGACACAATTCAGCCCATTACACCATTTCCCCAGCCAACCAACCCGGCTGCCCACTTACCCACGCACCCACACACCCTCTGCTCACCTCCTCTTAAACCTCCTGCCGATCCACACGCTGCCATCTGCCCCCCCAACCCCGCCCAGCAACCCTCCATCCACTTTCCCCTTCACCCCCCCTTCATTCATCCATCTGTATGGTCATTTACTCAACAGACGTCAGGAGCCTCTGCTCAGCCAGCACAGGCGCACCAGAGTGAGTGAGACAGGATCCCTGCTCCTAAGAACTTTCCAGCATGGTGGTGGGTGTGTGGGAGGGTGGGAGGAGGGGAGTCCAGGTCCCAGCTTGAGGCATTTCAAGAAGAAAGAAGCTCCACTCTTGATCCTTCCTCCTCAGGGGATGGCAGCGCTGGGGGACCTGCCCATCCCTCTCTGGGCCACAGGGTCGTGGTGGCATCACTGTGCGGAGACACCTTTCGAGAGCACCCTGTCACGCGGTCACGCGGTTCTGCAGACCCGTGGGTGCTGAGCAGCTCACACGCTCTGGATCTTCCTCCTGCCCCCAGGCTCGACGGTGTACACCTGCATGCTGAACCACAGGGGTGGCACCGAAAGTGACCTGACTGTCAGCCGCCTGGCCCCCAGCCCCCAGGCCTCTGCCCTGGCCCCCGCCTTCGAAGGTAAGCGATGCCCCGCGGGCTGAGCCGTGCTGTGGCCCGTAGCTGCTGCTGGCGGGCCGGACAGGGAGGGGGTGCAGGCGGCTCCGCCACCACCCGGTGCGCTCGCAGCGGTCAGGGCTGGGGAGAGGAGAGGCCTCGGTTCAGGCTGAACTTCGGCTTTGTTCGGGCAGTGATGCTGCGCTCTGAGTACTCCGTGATTATGTCTTTGAACCTGTCCATACCGTGGTGTTTCTGAGCCCACACTGTGGGCATGCTCAGCTCGTCTGCCCAGAACGGAGTGAGCCAGGGAGAAGGCCATGCCTCCCACTGGGCGATGTTAGCTCCTTTCTGCCACTAGCTTCTATGCGGAATCGACTTTCATCTATGCTGAACCCCGACTCAGGCTGGAGCAGGTCCTTAGAAGATATGCGGTTCAGTGCTCAAGCTGTTACTGGGTGGCCCTCTGCAGTGCTTTCAGGTTTGCTTGCATGCCTCCAGGGACAGTTAACTCAGTACCCGTCCTCCCTGTCTGCACAGCCGACTGACTGCTGCACTGAGCCAGATCTGCTTCCCATCACTTCAACTCCCCACCCCGACCCCCTGGTTCCCACAGGAGCCATCTCAACTCTAGTCCTGTTAACAGTCTCCGCTAGGGAAGAAGAGAGGTGGCTGAGAGTCTCAGAGAGCAGGAAGCACCCTCTTCTCCAGGAAGGGGCCCCATTGCCACCTCTGAGAGGCTGGATTTGCAGGGGAGAAAGGTGTCGACTGTGCGTGTGGCTGACTGCGCCATCCAGGGCAAGGGTCAGTAGGCTGGAAGTGCTCGGCCCGTTCTGAGAAGCTGTGGCAGCCCCCTGGCTCCGGGCCTGGCTCTGTGCTGCCGACAAATGCAGCTCACGCTCCGTGGGACCCGGTCAGGGTCCCCGGCACCGGCGAGGGCGCTCCGGCCTGGGCACTGGGAGAGGGGGGCGGAGCCAGAAGGAGGCGCCCTTGAGTCAGGAAGGTGCATGACTTCAATACTGGTTCCTGAGCACTCACCGCGCGCGGCCCGTTTGAGGCACCAAGGACGGAGCCAGGAGCCCAACCGAGAAGGTTCTGGCCTGCGTGGAGTTTGTGTTTCTGGTGGGGAGCAGGGGTGGTGGGACAAGTTTGCCTCGCTGACCACGGAGTCCTTCAGGGTGGCTTGGGGGGCAGGTAGGGCTCGGGGGGCCCTCCCTGCTGCCACTGCTGGTGCAGAAGTCAGGAATGCAGTGGGCTCAGCGAGAGCACGTGTGCTTCTGCCCCTTCCTTCTCCCGGTGCTCACACGGAGCCTTTACCCTCAGGCAGAGGCAGGGGATGAACGGGGCTGGCCGGGTCCTCCAGGATCTCAGGGTATGGACAGACCACCGTATGGGCAGACGGGCCAGGAGGAGACTGTTAGAACACTGGGATGGAAAAGAGTGGGACTATGGAGGCTGTGGGAAGTAGCTGAGCCAGGATGAGGAAGGCTTCCTGGAGGAGGTGATGCCTGGCCTGAAAGGGGGCTGGGAAGAGCTGAGTGGAGAGGTCAGCAGGGCTGGAGAAAGGCTGGTGGGAGCTTTGTGTGGCCCTCACCCCCGAGGAGAGGGGAGGCCCTGACACAGACATAGCTTCCATCCTTGCAGAGCGAGTGGAGCTGGGGGTGCAGGGCAGAGGGACCCCAGTGAGGGTGCAGAGGGTCCATGGAAATCCTGGGCCAGGCCCCGCCACTGACTGCCTCTGTGGCCCACGGCTCCGAGCCTCAGTTTCCCCATCTGGGGCATGGGGACCTCGCTGGTGCCCTCCACGGGGAGCTGTAGTGAAAACACTTTGTAAACTGAGCCACTGCCCAAGGGTGTACCCATGATATGCCTTTCAAGATGATTCCGGTGGATTCCTGGCCCTGGCCCTTGCCAGGGCTGGGGGAGAGCAGGCTCTGAAGCCGAGGGAAGGGAACGGTGCTGATGCTTCGGGAGGTGTTTTTCCTACACTCTGGTGCCTCCGAGTTCTCCTGGGAGTGAGGGAGGGAGGGGTCGGCGCTGGGCCTGCCAGTGGAAGTGTGCGTGGTGAGGGAGGCTCGAGGACGCCTGCGTCACATCCTGGGAGGCCCTGGAGTGTGCTGACGGGCCCGGGGACGCGGCCAAACACGAGAAAACCGGCGGCGTGCAGACTTTGTTTTATTTTCAGCCTTAAAAACTGTATCGTTCCTGCCATGAATATGCATGTCTGTTCAATCTGCGTGTTTCAGATGGGGGTTAATTACACCTGTTACATCAGATCACCATTAAGTCAAGAGGATGAGGTGATTTGTATTCGATCAAGGTTGTGTACAAGGCAGCTGTCGATCCTAAATGTGATCTTGCTTGATCTTTTATATCACAAGAGGAAAACGTGCTCGTAGGAGGCGTTTCAACAATACTGAGAAATAGAAAATAAAATCTGCAGCCCCCAGCTCCCCAGCTGGAGGCCGAGCCCCCGGACTCTGTGCCCGCTGACCGCCCTCTCTGCCACATCTGCTTGAGGGCTGGGCCTGGAGCTGGGCTGACTGTGGCCTCGGGACCGAGCACTTTGGGTCGTCGATGAGGGACAGCTGCCCAGAAAATGCCAGGTCCACCGGCCACCACCTCTCGGGCACCGGCGGCCCCAGGAACTCGCGTCCTTCAGTGAGGGGCCTTAGGTGGCTTCAGAGAGTCACAGCGTGTGTCGGGGGCTGGGTCAGAGGACACTGTTGGAATTCCAATGTCCTTTAAGAGTCCTCAGCCCAGGGATGGAGTGGGGGGGCCTTTGGGGGCTGACTTGTCTTTTTGGCTTCTGTCTCCCTTTGTGCTCATCAGTTTTAAGAGAAAAGAGGAAGAGAGGAAACATGCTCAAACCTGGCCAGTAGATTTTTTTTATCCAATGGATGCTCTCAACAGCCCTAAAGGAGCTGGTGTGTCTCTGCCCATCTTACAGATGAGAAAACAGGCTTAGACAAGAATTGAGGCCAGTGAGTCACAGAACTGCCTCTGGGCCAGGCTGGACTGGTGCCAAGACTTACATGTTCCCCAAGACAGGCTCCTCCTGGGGGTGGGGTAGTGTCCCTGCAAAGTGTGTATGTGTGGCAGGGATTTGGGGAGCTGCCCTTTCTGCCCAGCCCCATGGTCCAAAGGTTGCAAAGGTGCATGCAGGGTACGGTCCTGGCTGGAGGGAGATTGTGGGGTGGGGACAGGCAAGGGGGCAGGCCACTGCGGGGAGGTGGTGGAGGTGCTCTGCAGGGTTGGGGTGGGGTAAATGGGCTTCCCAGAGGAGGGGGTGTTTGAGCTGGATCCGGGAAAATGAGAAGTGGCTCAGGTTCTGTGAGGCACTAGTGAGTGGGAGGGCCTGGTGAAGATGTGTCCTGGCCCAAGACTAGAGCCAAGTGTATCAGAACCAAGTGCCTTGTGAGGGGGCAGGGGTCCCGGGGCAGGCTCTGACGGGCTGGGGGAACACTTTGAGACCATCCTGACTGAGGGCTGTGGGAGTGAGGGTGGGAGGTGGTGAGGTTGGACTGGCATGGGATTGGGGGCTGGGGCCAGGAGGGGACAGATCCAGCCATCCAAGCCAGAGATGCTGCAGCCCGAACAGAGCCACAGCCGTGGGCGCGGAGAGAAGGGGCTCAGAGGCGGCTTTGGGATGTGAGGATGAAGGAGGCAGCAGAGCCGCGGGTGACCCCAGGGCCTGGCCATTTGCCAAGAAGTGCCTGCAGCTCTGCTATTCAGGGAGGGCTTCCTGGAGGCTAAGGCCCCTGAGTTGGATCTGGAGGGGCAATGGGATTAGGGGAGCCGAAGAGCACACAGCACATGGGGTGCCAGGTTCAAGAATGTCCCAGGGCTCACCTGGAGGAGGGGGGCAGGAGGGCAGTGGGGACCACAGCCCCTGCGTCTGCTCCTTCCCCTGGGGGGTGGGAGAGGGAGGAGGGCCCCAGCACCAGGCTTCCGTTGGTGGCCCCCAGCCCAGCCCAGCCCAGGAACCTCCAATGAGAGCCCCCACAGGAGGTGCTCTTGGAGAGGCAGAGAGGCCCGGTACCCCTCCATCCCCAGCCCTCGGCCACCAGCAGCACCCTCCCTGGCCAGAGAAGGATAGGGAGGTGTGCCTACTTTTTAATTATGGTGGGGGCCTATACCACAGCTGTGGAGTAGCCCCTGGGAAGGGCCGGAGGAGGGCACTTAGGAGGATTCTCCAGCTTCAGGAGCCCCCCGGCCATCTCCACCAGTGCCCACGAGCTATGCCCGGGTCCGGGGGTGGTGCTGGGCCTGTGCGGGCCAATGCCCAGAGCCAACAGTGTCCGGGGCCGAGAGAAGCAGCTGCCACGCAGTACTCCAGGAAGAGGGTGCCTCCCAGGGCAGAACCAGCTCTGCTCCTGGCTCTGGGCCCCTCCTGGGGGCCCCTGCCATGGTGGCTGCGTCCACGTGGCCCGTGAGGCCAGCTCTAGTCGCATTCCCACTGTGCAGATGGAGAAGTGGCCGGGAGCTCCGGGATCGTCCGGTTCCACTGCTCTGAGGCTGGGGACCCTGTCGGAATTAATGAGGAAGGAAGGAAAGAGGCAGGATGCACGAGGAGCTACCGAGACACAGCTGAGATGAAGTTGGACCCCACCCCCAGGCCCACCTCCCCTGGTTCCTCCGGGAGATGGGCGGAAGTGACCAGTGCGAGCCCGCCTGTCCCGGCACGCACCCCTGCAGATGAGATGTGTCGACCCTCAGTTGCAGATGAGAGTACCGAGGCTCAGAGGGGCTGTGTGATGGGCCCAAGGCCACACAGCTGTCCCAGGTCCCAGCTCCCCAGGGCAGTGGCTCTCCCAGGACACTGGGCCAAGGCAGGCTGCCCTCCATTCACCCCTACCTGGCGGCAGTGTGGCTCAGGCCGTGGACTCAGAGCTGGACAGATTTTCTACCATGTGACCTCCATGAACCTCAGTCTCCTTTTCTGAAACCCTGGGGTGGTGACAAGTGTCAGTCTCCTGGGGGGAATCAAGGGGATATATTTTTGTAAAGAATTTATTTATTTGAGAGAGAGAGTCAGCGAGAGAGAGAACACGAGCACAGGCAGAGGGAGAGGGAGAAGCAGACTCCCCACCGAGCAGGGAGCCCGACGCGGGGCTCGATCCCAGGCCCCCGGGATCATGACCTGAGCCGAAGGCAGACGCTTAACGACTGAGCCACCCAGTCACCCTGGGAATCAAGGGGATGTTGCCTCTAAAGCCCGGTCCATTACCTGGCCCCAGCAAGTCCTGCTATGGCCAAGGGGGGACCCGGAGACCAGGGGCCAGGGGAGTATGGAGTGAAACAAGAGCCGGAGAGGAAAAGAGACTGGCCCACGCCCGCCCAGCACTGAGGACAGTGGAGCATCATCCCTGTGGTGTGATGGAGTCGGGAGTTCTTCCCCTTTCCTGGATCAGGAGCCCTTTGAGAAGTGGGTGGAAGCCTCAGACTCTCCCAGGAAAGTGCTCCCTTGGCACATGCAGCCCTCGGGGGTCCTTCGTCCTGGCCTCCAACCCCAGCCCCCTGCTGAGAAGCCAGGGCCCCCAGGGAGGGTCGCTGTGCTCTGGCTTGTGTTGTTCACTCTCCAGAAAAGAGCAAGTATTTCCTCAACCCAGAGGCCTTGGGCCACGCCTCGCCGCCCCCTCCATCCTGCCGTCCTGCCCTGAGTCCGGTGCTTCTCTTCCAGGGGAGGGCTACTACCTGGCCGTGGGCGGGGCCGTGGCCCAGCACAACTGGGCTCACATCAGCACGGTGCTGCAGGATCAGAAATTCCGGTGCCAGCTCATCGATGGCTCTGAGGACCTGGGCATGATCAGCATCCAGGGCCCAGCCAGGTGAGGAGCCGCGGGATGCACAGCCCCTGGGACCCAGCCCCGGGTTCCTCCAACCGGGTCCTGTGGGCAGAACCACTGCGGGTCCAGAATGGGATGTTCTGGTTCGCTAGGTGATCCGGTGAACCCAGAGGTGCCATGTTGGATAAATCGTTTTCAAAGCACTAGAATACAGAAAAGCCCTTTATGTGAGCGTCAGACTCAACCATACGGTGACTCAGCATCCGAGGGCTCAGGGGTCACAGAAGGGCCTGTGTGTGTGTGTGTGTGTGCGGAGGGTGTCTTTGGGTCGCTGACTCAGCCTAGGAGATACTGATGCCATCTCAAAGTGGGCACAGCCAGGCTGGGGTTCTACCTGCCACTGGGGCTGAGAATAGTATGGAACTGAGGCCACTGCCCCCCGGGGCCCAACGCCTCCGTGATCACCTCCAGTGATTAGGCCTGCAGATGGGTGATCCAGTCGTTCGTTCATTCTGTATTTGCTGAGCTGCATTCCCACCCACGAGGAATCGGAGCCTGCAAGGTCCTGAGATGCTGGCTGTGCGTGGAGCCACAGAGGGGGCTTAGGCAAAGGGGCGCCCGAGCAGCTGTGCACTTTGGGAAGATTCCTCCAGCTGGGCTTCAGGGAAGGGACTCGGGGGTGGAGGACCAGAGGGGAAGAATGATCGTGTTAACAACCACCAAATGGACACCTGTGATTTGCCAAACCCTGTGCGGACCTCTCCTGAAACTACGGATAATAGCCCTTGCAGGTGGTTCTAATTGTGCTTGTTCTTTTTGGTGAAGAAACAGAGGCAGAGAGAGGTAGAGATCTTTGCCCAGGGTGGTACAGCTAGTTAGGTGTTCGATCACTGACCCCAGAGCCCGGCGCGCATTGGCGCGGGGGAGACACCTCTTGAGTGGTGGACCCTACCAGACTGGAGAGTGCAGGCGGAGGCAGGGGAGGAAGGGCACATGTCAAAGGAAGGATGTATTCCCGAAAAATGATGGGAACAGCTGGTTGCCGAGAGGGAAGAGTGGGCCCAAAGCTGCACACTCTCAGACCCTGCCCTAGGATCCATTTTCCCGGGTGCCTTAGAGCTGACCAAGCCAGCAGCTCCCCGGCTGGGTCCTGGATGGGCCAACCTCCTCTCCCAGACTGTGTTGTAGCTGTTTTTGTGTGGGCATTGCTTAGGGGCGCACGGCAGATGGACAGGACCTGCTCGCTGAACGAATGTATAGAATCTGAGTAGGTCATATACTTTAATGTTGATCGGCTTCTGTCAAGTGTTTGACCAACATCCACTAAGAGAACATTTGGGCAAAGCCCTGGAGGAAAAAAATGAGGAATCAAGCTTTGGAGCTCTGGAAGGACGGTGTTCCAGGCAGAGGAAACAGCAGGTGCAAAGGCCCTGTGGCAGGGGTGTGCCCATGTGTCTGAGGAAAAGCAGGGAGGCCAGCTGGAGCAGGGCAGTTGGAGGTGCACTCGGAGAGCAGAGGAGGTGAGGACCTGTAGGTCCAGGAGCTGTTTCCCTGAGTGAGGGGGACTGAGCAGAGCAGAGACATGGTCGGACTTGGGCTTTAACAGGGTCTTTGATGCCGGGCGGGGGAGGATGCCAGCAGGTGTGTTAGGAGCCTCAGGGACCGGAGAAGCTGGGACTTCGAGGAGGGAGCATTGAGCTGTGTCCAGGTGGCCAGTGGGTCCAAGTGGGATGAGGACCAGAAACTGACCATTATTTTTGGCAGCGTGGTGCTTCTGGTGGCCTCGAGGGTGGTTTGCAGGACGGCTGGGTGGGGGCATGTGGAGCCAGGAAGGGAGGAGAGGAACCTGGAGATCCGGTGGTGCGGTTTTCATCTCTCCCTGGGCCAGCCGGCTCCCGTCTGTGGGTGGAATGGGGCCGGGGGTCCTGGCCGGTCCCTGGGGGAGCCTCTGCTCCCTTGTCGCTGCGCCTCAGCTGGCAGTGGGTTATTTTTAGTGTGGGGGAGGCGGGTGGGCAGGGGAGGGAGGGTGCAGGCAGCCAGATCAAGGCAGGGCCCCGGGGGGACAAGCCAGCCTCCTCTGCCTCATTAGAAGCAGCTCCAGGCGGGCGCTGGTGACAGCCATCTCATCCCCCTGATAATTCCTGAACTTCCTGCTCCAGAGTGTCCTCTCCTTCAACAACAGCCCCCACGTTCCTGCGCGAGGGTCAGCCTCGCCGGCACCACCGGTGGGGCTAGACCTTCGGAGTTGTCCGGTGGGAGGACGGCACCCGGACCATGGGCCATGCTCAGTGACCTGCTGTCCAGTAGAACTCTCTGGAAACGTTCCATAATTGGGTGGTCCAGTACGGTAGCCACTAAGCTGTAGGTGGCCACTGAACCCTTGACATGGGTCTGGCCAGACTGAATATTTAATTTTAATTCAGTTAAACTCAAGCGGCCACGTGTGGCTGGGGGAGACCGGGCAGACGTGAATGATCACTATCACAGTTTCTCCCTGCTGGCTCGCAAGAGCCCTGGGAGGAGGCACCCCTGTCCCCGTGGAGGACGGGGTGAGGGTGATAGGTGAGTAAGGGGAGTCAGGACTCGAACCCGCGTCTCTGGCCCACGCCCTCCAGCGCCACCTGCTGCCTCCCTGGTGGAGGGATAGCCTCCTGCGCCCCAGCCTGCGTTCCCCAGACCTGTGTGCCCGCCCCGTCAATAGACTGGTGCCCAGAGCTACCCCTCGCGCTGCTGAGCCCCTTCAAACCCTGAGCCGGGACGGCAGCTCCAGGCTCCTTCCCCGGCAGGGACACAGGCTAGGAAGACACCAGCCGCCCCGGGGCTGCAGAGAGGACATGCTCTTGGAAGACTGGGGATGGGTTCTCTGGGGGCTGGCACCACGTGGGTGCCGGGGGTGTGTGTTACATAAGGCACTGGCAGCCTGCAGCACGCTGGGCACCTCGAGCCGGCGTGGGTGGGCAGCTCCAGCACCGTGGGGGTGGAATTAGGGTGGGCAGCGTTCTGAGCTGCAGAACCTTGCAGCCCCAGCACCCGCTGGTACCCCTGCGCGGGGCTGTCTCCTGCCAACGGAGAGCCCACCCTGGGGCACAAAGCTGGGCTGTTGTCAATCAGTTCTATTTACCGTGTGCCCTTCTGTGCCAGGCACATTGGGATAGGAGCCCTGTTGTCACAGGCGCCTGGTTTAGGGAGGGGGGGGGCAAGTACAACCCATGTGAGAGGTGTCCTGTCGGGAAATGTATCAGAGCTTCACGACCCACATAAAAGGCACCGGACCCAAACTCAGGGAGTCAGGAGGGCTTCCTGGCCGGAGGTGGCAGCTGAGCCGAGACCTGAAGGATGACAAAGGCTTAAACAGAGGCAGGGGACCTGGGTGTTATGCCAAGGAGTGAACTAAGGCCTCGAGGGAGGCCAGGGGGCAAGGGGCCCTGGAAGTGAGGGTTTCCATGGATACTGAGGGCTTTGGGCCCAGCGAGGTCTCAGCTAAACTCTTAAGCCTGATAGCCAGATTCTGTGGGGGGTGGGAGAGCAACCTTTGACCTCGGGGAGCTCACAAACCAGCCTCCTGCCCATAGGACCTGGGGGTGTTCGATGGCTGGGTCACTGCCCCAGGAGTCCTGTCGGTCCGGTCTCCATGCAGGCTGGGTTCACTGCCCCCATCATTGTTCCTGGCTTTTTTTTGTGGACTGTATTTTTGGCTTGTGTTCACCTTGGTGTGCTTTTGTGAATACCCTTTTGTCAGTCTGCCCTAAGGGTTCAGGGAGTCATCCTGCTCCCTGCTGTATCCCCAGCGTCTTCCTGGCCCAGGGCCTGCACCCAGGAGTGCTCAGCAAGTGTTTGTTGACTGACTGACTAACCGACTTTGTTCCTGTTCACAGTCGGGCCATTCTCCAGGAGGTGCTTGATGCAGACCTGAGCAATGAGGCTTTCCCATTTTCCACCCACAAGCTGGTGAGAGCCGCCGGGCACCTGGTAGGTACCTCCTGGCTGCCATCTCCTGTGTTGTGGGCGGCGGCAGTGCGCCTGGGGCTCGGACTTGGGAGCCAGTCTGTTGACTTCCCTAAGCCTTTGTGCAACACTGTGAAGTGGGGACTAGACGTTCCCGCCCATAAGCTGTTCGGAGCTCAGAAGGCTGACGGGTCCAAGTCAGGCTCCACCCCTCCCCCTCCGGTACTGTGCCCAGTGCCTGGCACCTGCTGGGGGCCTTGCTCCCAGGCTTCCGCCAGGAAGCATCCCCCTCCTCGGAGGCACAGGCCTCTGGACTCAGGGTGATGTGTACTGCCTCCACCACATCGGAAACAGGGCTGGGGACAGCAGAGCTCCGTGCCCTCTGAGGAGGCACCTGCCCTTCCCTAGTGTTCTCCCACCCCTGCCCGCCCAGCACTGTGGGTGTAGGAGGAGGAGGGGCTGCTCCGTGGGGTCGGAGTGCGCACCCCCCCACCCCCAGCCCCAGAAAGTCCAGGTCCTGGGACCCAAGGCTTCTGGAACGGTGGACAATGTCAGGATCCCTTGGACCCGGCTCCGCTTGGAAGCTTCTTTGGAGACCAGGGGCTGGGGCGGGGCCAGCTCTAGGTCAGCCCATCCCTTCCCTCCCGGTCCTTGTAGGAAGTTAAGCATCCTGATCTCCGTTCTGATTCCCCGAGGCCAAGGGGAGGATCAGATGGTCAAGGTGCCCTCAGCCACCATGTGCCGGGGGCTTGTGGGCACCAGGCGCTGCTCCAAGCACACGGCACACGCATGGCCCACGTCTTCTTCCCAACGATGTGAAGTTTCCATGACGAGGTTTCTCAGCCTCAGCACTATGGACATTTGGGAAGATACGCTGTATTGGAGGCCGTCCCAGGCCTCATAGGGTGTTTGGCAGCATCCTTGGCTTCCACCCATTCAATCCCAGGAGCACCCCCAGCTGTGACAACCAAAAATGTGTCCAGATGGGAACAAGTGTCCCCAGGGGGCAGACTCACCGGAAGGGAACTGCTGCTTGTCTGTGATTATCCCCGTGGTGGTCAGGCTGTCCGTAGTCGTGGCCGGGTGAGATGACCCAGGCCCTGCAGCAGCTCTTGATGTAGGAAACCGAGCTTGGAGAGGGTGAGGGACTGCCCGAGGCCCTCAGCTAACCAAACAGAAAAGCACACAAATACATGTCAATAAAACGGATGTGGCCATCGGGGGCGGGTGGATGGACAGCTGGGCTGGGGGGGCTCCTCTCCTTGTCCACTTCTCCGTGTTCGCTGGGGGTTTGGTGGGGAAAGTGCCAGGGAATGTTGGTGAGGAGGGGGATCCTGGCCCGCGGAGGGGCTGGAGTTCCAGGACCAGCCTGGAACTGAATTTCCTGTTAGCAAATCAACAGTGTGTACTGAGGTCTGCGAGGGGGGCTGCCAGAGAGGGTGGGGGACAAAGGCTGCTCTGGAGCAGGGGAGTACTGGCTGGGCTCTGTTCCTGCCTTCCCTCTCTGGAGGGAGCTAAGGGACAGGAAGCTGTGGGGGGGAGGGGGGAAGGTTCCTCTGTCTAGCTTGCTTCCTGCCTCCTTGGTGCAGAGCTGCCTGCCAGGACCAGAGAGGGTAGGTGTTTTGAGAAAGTGGCACAGCGCGACCCCAGGCCCCGGCCGACATCCAGCAGGCCCTGACTGCAGCTGGGCCATGAGTCCCCATGGGGACTGGGTTCTGGCTTGCGGAGGTGTGAAGGGGAGTTGAGAGGCTTGGCATCTGCTTGGCCTGCGTGTGGCTCGGGGGTAGTGGGAGAGAGGACCAGGTGGGAGCACTTCCCTTCCCAGCCCAGGCCGCTCCAACGAGGCACCTGGGACGGGACTTGTTCCCGGCCAGGGGGCTCCAGCTGCCTCCTGCCCCTGGGGGCCGGCCCCTCACAGCCCTGGCCGCCTCCCTAGGCCTGGCCCGTGGCGGTCTGGCTGCACCTTGTCCGGCTGGGCCTGGGAGCCAGGCTGGGTCAGGTCTCGGACCGAGGGGAACCCCTCCCTAGGGTAACAGGCGGCCCAGACACAAGGTAAGGGTGCCCTGAGATGCCTGGGTCGGGGTGCAGGACACCCACGGGGCTGCATCTCCTCACTGTCTCCTCTGGAACAGGCTTCTTGGCTTTGTCAAAAAGTATTTTATTACTCTGTGAACAAATGTTCAGTTTCCAACCATAAGTGTGTGGTGCGGTGGTGAAGCAGGCAGGGGGCCTGGAGGCAGAGCTCACTGACCCCTTCGGGTGCGGCCCTTGAGCTCTCCAAGCACAAGATGCTGCAGTCTGGCTGGAGAGATGTTGGCATCACACTGGGAACGTTTGTAAGCCAAGAACAAGGAGATGGAAGCCAAGCCCAGGTTAGCAGTTCAGTGTGCCTCACAGAATCTTCTCTCCCTGATCTCTGTCCATGAAGCTCAAAACAGAAGCAGGACCATCCACAAATACAGTTTGTGCACCCAGCTTTATTCTCTGATGGTGGTTGTAACAGTTTTCTTTTTCTTTTTTTTTTTTTTTTAAGATTTTATTTATTCACTTGAGAGAGCGCGAGAGAGCACAAGCAGGGGAGAGGCAGAGGGAGAGGGAGACACAGGCTCCCCGACTGAGCAGGGACTCGATCCCGGGACGCCAGGATCATGACCTGAGCCCAAGGGAGACGCTTAACTGGCTGAGCCACCCAGGTGCCCCAGTTGTAAGAGTTTTCTGGTTCCTTTAAATATTCTCCGAGAACCACTTTGAAAACCTGCGTGATCCTCCCTCAGCCCCTCGAGCAACGCCCGTGCTTAGACATTCCTTGTCCTGGGAATAGCCCAGTGAGGAGCTCCCCGGTGATGGTGGTCCTTTTATGACTCTGATTATTGACCTAAGGCAGATTCCTCAGACCCAGAGACAGGTGTCCCAGGTACACAGTCCTGGCCTTCCGGGTCATTCCCTGCGGTGTTCTTGCCCATCATTTGGCATTTTCTGTGTCCTCCCCATGCCCGGTGCTGCCCCAGGCCTTCTGGGTGAGAGTGGGCACAAAAGTACAGAGCTTCCTAAGCCAGGTCCCACCTGCGGGACGGGAGACTGGCACCCTTGGCTCACATTGGGCCAATCCAGGTTCTCACGTGAGCCCTGGCATTCTAGCCTAAACTGCAGGATCCATTCCCAGTGCTCAGCGTCCTCTCCCCACCTCCGCCCTCCCCGATCCCCCACACCCCCCACCTGGCTCTAGAATTAATTCCGGACACGTTGGCTGGTAGCCCCCCAGGTGCCAGGCCCAGAGCTTGACCCGGAGGCTCTGGGGTGGAAGAGGCGGGCTCCTGCCCTCCCCAGGCTCGTAGCCCTGCTGTGGGTGGGGGCGGGGGGGCGGCGGGAAGGACTCTGCAGCACGGTGCACCCTGCATCGGGCAGGAACACGTTCACGGGAGGGAGCACAGAGTCTTGGCAAGACAAGTAAATGTGAGAACAACAAGGTGGTGGAGAGGACGTGACTTGGGCCTCTCGGCTGGGCAGTAGCGTGCCTGTGCTGGGTGGGGAGGGGCTCTGCCCTGGGACGGGGTCCCCCATGCCCCTGCCCCCTGGCCCCCTTGGCAGGACCAGAGGAACCCATGCCCCAGGGTGGCCAGCAGAGACTGCTTCCTCTCCCCTGTCCGGCTTAGAAGCACATCGCGGTTCCCTGCAGGGGACCGTGCCCACCAGGGCCAGGGTGACGCCACCTCACTCCTCAGAACAGCCCATCTCCAAACACATGGGTTCACTGTCCGGCAGGGTCACTCCTGCATCCCTCTCCTCGGACGCTGTGGGGCCCCTAGGGGGCTGGGCGGTCGGGTAAGTGCCTGGCTGAAGCATCTTTGTGCAGAGCCCTGCCTCTGAGCCTCTCGACCTTCTTCCTCCTCTGCCTCGTCCCCCTCCCTGCTGCTCTCTGGAGGTCACATCTAGTAACCTGGAGGTCGATCGCTGCCCCTGCTCTGTGACCCCCTAGGGGCTGGGAGTCCCCGGGGGGCCCAGCTCCTGAAGATGAGGCCCTCAGGGGCAGGAACTTTCGAGGATGGGACGCAGCTAAGGGTGTGGCAGGTTGGTGCCCCAGACGCGCCGAGATCCTGCCTCCAGATCCCACGTTCTCCTGAGGGCCAAGGGGGCTTGAACAAAATGGAGCGAAGGCCTAGTTTCCTCAGAGTTCATGTTATGGGTTTTGCTGACCTCCACGTGGCCCAGACCACACGAGGGTCCAGGATGGTCCAAGCCTAGGGCACAAGAGCTTTGCATTCACTGTCCAGTAAGAGGGGTGGGGAAGTCTGCCGGGCAGGGCCAGAGGTTGTGGGGGACCTGGGCTGCCCCTAGGCCCCATGGTGGCCTCACAGGCGGGCGGGGAGGTGGGAGCTGGGTCAGCACAGAACCCAAGGGTCAACAACAGAGTCACTCCGGCGTTCAGCAGAGCTGGGGGCCTGTAGTCCTGGCTTCTAGGCCCGCCCTGGCCTTCTGGGACCACCTCTCCTGGCCTCGGTTTCCCCACCCGCGACACAAAGCCTAGACAATATATAAAACCCTTTCTGGGCTGTCTTGTGAGTCTGCCCAGACAGCCTGAATTCTCTCTGAATCCAGGGGGATTTTCTATTCTCCCAAATAATATCATGCACCGGCTTCAGCACGTCCTGGCGCCATATCCCTCCGTGTGAAGGGACGCTGGGGCCAGAGGGCAGGCTGGGCCAAGTTTGATGGGAGGTAACTGGATCCCAGCCAACCAGATGCAGGAGAGGAATGTGTGCCTGTGTAACCGGTAAGGCCTCCTGGTTGCAATGCACGGAATGATGAGGGCCAGAGCCCAGACTGCACCCAGGCCGAGGGTGGGGGAGCAGGGCCCTGCCTCCCATGACCCACACTCACACCCAACAGATGACCCCGGCTGAGCGGCGTCCCCGGCTGAGTGCCGTCCTTGTTTTGCAATAACACCCCAAGATGCTTGGGCCCCAAGCTTCCATGAGGCTTGCATTCCTAGAGGAAGAACAAGGGGTGGAGGGAAGTTGTCCCCT